TTAGGCTTGATATCTCGCTTGCTGTTGTGGATAAGAACTAATTGTGGGTGGAACACGGCTAAGAATTGGTTGTAGACGGTCAAATTGATCAAAGTATTTATCTCGAAACCATCAAACCAAACCATGGCTGTCTTAACAACAGTCAAAACTCCAAGAAGGCTTTGAGAATTGAACTGCTACTTAGCAGGCTCATTTTTTTTTCTTTAGCCACTGTGGAACCAGCTGCATTACCGAACCTCCGCCAATAACGTTGGCCTTCCTCCACGCGGGGTTTGTTTTCCGTCCCACCCCGAGACGCCCCATATGGGGAGCGGCGGCTCCTCGGCGAGTGTGTCACCTCCGTGTCTGAGACCACTGTCAGTCGAGAGCGGCGCCACAAGAAACAAAGGCCCTCGGCTGAATGGCTGATGAACGTGCCGCGGCCGGGACGGCGGCGGCGGCGCGCGCGCGCTCTCCAAATAAGGCCTTCATCCCCGCGCGGTTGGGCAATCGCGGTCAGAGCCGATGGCGTCCGGTGTCGACCAAAGGTGTGAGCAGACAGACTATCGGGTGGCATCGGCCCCAGCCCGGCCCGGCTCGGGACGATGGAGTGGCCGTCGCTCCCCCGGGCTATCCGACAGACGGCTCGGAGAGCCGGACGTGGCAACAGTGAGGCTGGGGGGATCCATGTGATCGCAAGGCACCTCGCAGTTGCGATCAAACGTAAGTTGAATCGGAACAGATATTGGAGGGATCCATCACATCGTAGGCTAAGTAGATACGCAAGTTGTATCGCAAATGGTGAAGATACGAACTAACTTTACGAATCTTCTCGGTCGATCGGAAGGCCGATCGTAGCGAAGCTTTACTTCTTTCTCAAGAGAAAAATATAAGAAATTTTCAAAATTTTCACAAAACCGAAATATATGTTAAACAAATATGGTTGATGAACACGTGTGCAAAATTTGAAGTCGATTTCTTCAAAAATGGCTGCGCTAGAGCGTTTTAAATTTACACGTTGAAAACGGTCACTTTCACGTCCTTTTTGTAATTATTTTTTTTTCCAATTTTGAAATTTAAAAAGTGTTTTGGGCAATTTTTCGCGTTAATTGCGAAAATCTGACCAAAACATGTATCGCACCATCAATGATCCTATACGCCATCAGAGGCCGCGCCGCGGACAGGTGGGCGCGGCGATACCTAGGCCGCGTGGGGGTTACACTGGTGTTCGGGAAGGGCTATGTCAACGCGAGGCAGGCCGCGGGGGAGCCGGTTGCGGCGCCGGTCCGTATTTGTCGGCGCCTAGCAGAGCAGCGGTGCGTTTATGGCGGAGGGAGGGAAGCGGTGTAGTGTCGGCAAGGCCGCACACAGGAGAGGGCACACGGGCCTCGCCCCATTCGAGTTGGGGCCCCTAATCTTTAGACCGCCGAAGACCATGTAAAATGAACTGAAATGATGATTAAAAAGACCGGGAGGGCCCATCTCGTTCCCCAGCAGGCCCATACGAGTCCATAAATGCCCAGTAGCGCAGCCAGGGGTATTGTGGTGAAATTTCAATGGCCCTCAAAAGACCTCAAAGGGCCCACAGATGGGGTCACCGGGTCCTCAGATGGTCTCGAAGGGCCCTCGGTTAGCGTCAAATGGCCCTCATCTGGTGTCAAAGGGCCCTCAGATGGCCAAATAAAGGGCCACAAGATGGCCTCAAAGGGCCCTCAGATGGGTTCAAAGGGCTCTCAGCCAACGTTAAACCTACCTCAGAAGACCTTAAAGGGCGTCAAAGGGCCCTAAACCTGCGTCAGAGGGCCCTGAGCTCGCGTCAAACGACCCTCCGAAGGCCTTAAAGAGTCCTTAGCTTGTGTCAGAGGGCCCCCAGCTGGTGTCAGTGAGCCCTCCTCAGCTGGCGCCAAAAGTCCATCTGAAGGTCTCAAACGGTCGTCAGCTGGAGTACAACGGTCTTCAGATGCCGTCACGCGGCCCTCAAAAGCCTCAAGGAGCCCTTATAAGGTCTCAAAGGGCCCTCATTTGGCCTCAAAAGGCCCTCCGCTAGCGTTAACCGGACTTCAGAAGGCCTTAAAGGGCCCTTATCTGGTGTCAGAGGGCCCCCAGCTAGTGTCAGAGGGCCCCCCGGCCCTCAGTTGGCGCAAAATGGCCATCAGAAGGCCTCAAACGGTCCGTAACTGGAGTCAAACCGCAACGGTCCTCAGGTGGCGTCAAGCGGCCCTCAAAAAGCCTCAAAGGCCGCTTAAAAGGCAGCAAAGGGCCCTAATATGACCCCAAAGGGTCCTCTGCTGGCGTCAAACGGACCTCAGAAGGTCTCAAAGGGCGTCAAAGGGCCCTGAGCTCGTGTCAAATATAAAAGCGCCCTTAGCTGGTGTCAGGAGGCCCCCAGTTGGTGTCAGCGTGCCCTCAGCTGGTGTCAGAGAGCCCTCAGTTGGCATCTACTGGCCATCAGAAGGCCCCAAACGGTCCTCAGATGGCGTCCAACGGTCCTCAGCTGACGTTAAGAGGCCCTCAAAAAAGCCTCAAAGACCCCTCGGCTGCTGAAGAGGCCCTTAGCCTCAAAGGAAACTCAAGAGACGTTAAACGGCCCTAAAAAAGGCTTGAAAGGGCCTTCTGCTGGTGGCAAAGGGCTCGCATATGACATCAATAACAGCTTTGTCAAAAACGGACCTGAGAGACCTTGCCGGTCCCTGGTTATAAGGGACTCCTGTCTCTTGCAGTAACCTGAGTGGCCCACGTTTACTGAGGGGCCCCTGGTTATTGAAGGAGTCCATGGTTACTGGAAGGAACCCTGGTTATCAGAGGGTTCCCTGGTCACCTGGTGGGTCCCTGATCAATTGAAACCTCCCGATCATCTGAGCGCCCCCTGATTGCCTTGGTCTTGGCGTTGGCGTACAATTTAAAGTCGTCGGCACACTGCGGCCTCCTCTTTCTCAACAAGTCCCTCTATTTCTTCTGCAGCGAGGGCGATTTCGTCAAAATACTCCTACATCGCGAAGCCTCGTGCGCAGACGCAGTCTTCGGGGCGCTCGCTGCGCCAACTCTTGACGCCAACTGACGGGCTCCAAATGGAACAGATGGACTCCGAAACGAACGTGGGAATGCCGACACATCATCCCTCCAAATTTACAGAGGAGGAGATGTCCCTGACAGCCCATTTGCAATAGGGGTCACTTTTACACTATAGACGTATGGGGAATTCGACCTTATCGACATGGTACTACGAGGTCAGCTGATCTGCTTGGCATTTAAATCGTAGTAAAACTGGCATTTAAACGCTGCGAAACAACTTACGTACAACGTAGCTCCGATTTGCCGCTCTTTCTTTTTCATCCCTCCGATTTTCTTCCGATCAAGAGAAGTTTCGTACCGAGAGAAGTTTCGCAGCCACGTCCGATATAACTTACGATAGCACGGATCCCCCCAGCCTGAGATACGTTGGATATCGGCGAGAACGTTCGTAAGGACGTGTGAACGTGACGATATTTGATAGAACGTCGTTTATGACGTCGTTCATCGTTATCAAAGGTACGAAATTCTCAGAAAAAAATTGTATTAGAGGCTTAAACTATCACCCAACTGGAAAAGCATTCAGTCAAGTTCACTATCACACGGGAGATAGGCGAGCTTTCAATTATCGGAACCAGGCTCCCCAGTCACGCCTCCCACTGCGACAGATCTCTATGAAATAACTGTCGGAGCTTTACAAGTCGAATCCCTTCCCCGGCGATGAAATACGGCATTGTTACATGGCTGACTGTCTATTGGACTGTCTCCACCGGCCCGCCTCCTCCGTCCGCCTTCTGTCCCGGAACCGGCCATGAGATGTGCTGCCCAGTGCCCATTGAGATAGCACTATCAGGGCATAGGAAAGGCCAATAAATCCCAGATGAGACGCACTCCACCCACGCTCCTCCGTCGCTACTGCGAGATAAACTGATACGGGGCTTAAGGCGTCATCTGAGGTGACAGATCCGTGGAAAGATACCATAAAACGCTGTGTGATACCTCACTGCGTTTCATGATTTTGTAAGAAAAATAAGTTTTACGGATCAAAACATCGTTATGGGAGAGAAACAGCGTTATGTTTAACGGTTCAAATAAAACCTCGACCGCGCCGAGATCCGAGTTTCGTTTCGGTCCAGCAGCTGCTGAGGCCTCTCTCAGCCGAGCTGAAGTCTGGGCAGTGCCGACTCAGCATCACTGAGCGCTGGGCGTCCCCGCCCCGGCCAGGTCCGGAGCTCCGGCACGCTGCTGCACAATGGCCGCCCGACCAGCGCCGCCGCCTCCCACCGTCAGAGGTCATGCAGCGGTCAGCCGGGCCGGACCGAGCCGGTTGGACGGACCACGGACCGCGGACCACGGCAGGGACCGGGGACCACGGACCACGGGCCAGAGACTGGAGAGTCGTGGATGGGGCACGGATTAGAGATCAGATCCCGATGATCATGATGATGATCAGGGGTATGTGGCGGACTGAAGGGGCAGATTTTTAGAGGATCGAGGAGGAAGCGAAATGAGAAAGGAGAGGACGCGGCGGTCCGGCGCTGCGGCTCCGGCGGACGGGCCGCACCGGCAGGCCGGCTGCAGCACCCCATCAATCAGGCGCTCCGCATGCAGCCGGCGTTTACGAGTCACGATCCCCGGTAGAGACGGCCGGTGCATACTGCCGGCGTCCGCCGTCCGCAGCGGCACCCCTTTATCGAAATCAGCCGCCGGCGAACGCCGCGCATGCCAATGAAACCAGACCGAGACCGCAAAAAAGGCGCGCAAACAGCACGCACAGAACAGGGGCGAGAGACGGAGCGTGGTGGTACTTTGATTAGTGGGGCACGACGGCTGTGATGTATGACAATGTGACGTGACCGGACGCGGCATGTTCGTGTGACGTGCCCTGATCCATTGCGTGGTGGCGTCCTGTGACGTGCCATTTCGTGATGAGTTCGCTCGCTGTGAGGCTGTGCCCAGCCGTGAGAGTGACTAGAATCCGTCTGACGTACCATTATTGTTTGCTCCGACAGATTCTGAGCAAGTACAGTCCGGAGCTGGCCTCTGAGACGCTGGAGTGGATCGCCCAGCTGACTGGCGAGAGCATCAACACCTCCGGCGACACGGCCAACTTCTGGGAGACGCTCAAGGATGGCATCCTCCTCTGCAAGTGAGTGAGCTGGGCGCGCTCGGGAGTAGGAGACGGCGACAACAAAGCAGAGCAGGGGTGGGACGAATACGAATACGGATCACCGGAAACCATAGCGTCAATCGGTATACAGTAGCAGCACCATATCGTGCACAAGGCATATACCTAAGATATCAATCTTTCGGTCAATACATCTTAATCCTTTTATCTATGACAGTCAATATAGGCTAGTCGCCCGATGAAGTCATTGCTGTGGGACCGTCCCACCGGGCGTCAGGTCCGTGCAGCAGCGGCGGCGCTGGCTGCACCGTTAGGCCGTCCAGCAGGTGATCGACCTGACGGTATCAGTGCCGACATCTGCCCCTATTTACCCTGATTAAGTGACGGCCACATTGCCGCCATGGCCGGCCGCTGTTCAAATAAACCCTCCTCGCCGCATCCCGTCCATCCGGCGCTGGCGGCACCGCGTCCTCCGACGGCGACCGGCCCTCACTGGACATTGCATGCTGCTCCTGTCATCATCACCCCGAGAGGACGCCTCAGTCGCTGACGGACTGACGACCCCGGCGGCGTCAGTGACGGATGGACATCCCGGCGCGCCGACCAACTGACAATCACAGTCGGTATAAACAGAGCCCTCGTCCTGCTCTGAGTGTGTCTCTGTGCGAGCGGCAACTCTGTGAGCTCTCGGAGACGGACTGACCGGCCTCCGCGGCCTCTGTGACCTCTCCACCGGCGGCACGTGGCCACGGCGTGACCGTGCCGAGCGGAGCGCTGACGAGCGCACCACCCCCGCGCCGTGGCGAGCCGCCCGCCTCGGCTGCGGACGGAGCACCCCAGGGCGCGGTCCGAGTGAACCCAGTGGGAACCGCTGCCACCCGACCGTGGCCAACGAGCCACGACCGCCGCCGACCGAAACACGACCGGGAAACGATGACAGCGCTGCCCTTCTCAGAGCTCGCGTCTGAAATATTTATCACATCGGGGTTGATTCATTTCAGAGAGCTTTCTAAGTGACCCATGACGACATTCGTTCTGCACGAGTCGTTGACCATTATGGAGATTCGACTGAAGCTAACGGACCGATGATAATTAAGAGGTTTTGCATTAATCTTATCCGCTGTCTCGATTGCACTGACGCTAACTTTCTCTGTATCATTTCAGCCTGGTTAACCAGATCCAGGCTGGCTCCGTCAAGAAGGTCCAGCAGAGCAAGATGGCCTTCAAGTGCATGGAGAACATCAACAGCTTCCTGGCTGCGGCCAAGAACCTGGGCGTCACCTCTGACGAGCTCTTCCAGACGGTGGACCTCTGGGAGCAGCAGAACCTCCACTCTGTGGTCATCTGCCTCCAGGCCCTCGGCCGGAAGGTCAGTATTCGACATTTGAAGTGAACAGAGCGACGAGGAGTGAGCTTCTCTCACGTGGAACGATTTGTCGGGTGCGTTGCTCTTAGCTCATAGTTACATAAGTCGCAACGTGCATTAGGCGTGAATACTGGATGATATCCTGTCTTTTAGTTAAAAAGCCAGCTTCTTCTATATCTGACATACGAATGATGTCCCGAACTGAGTATATTTATCTTTGTAGCGTTTACATTATGGGTCATGCTTTTCGAAGCGTGTTGTTCTTCGTTTGCACGGGCCTCGGATCCCTATAACATCGTTGAGTTGCAAACATCATGGCACCGTCACTGACCGAGCTCGCCGTGTGTTGTTACAGGCGCCCAACTACGGAAAGCCCGGCCTGGGCCCCAAGGAGGCCGAGAAGAACACCCGCCAGTTCACCGAGGAGCAGCTCAACGCCGGCAAGAACACCATCGGCCTGCAGATGGGCAGCAACAAGGGCGCCACCCAGTCCGGCATCAACTTCGGCAACACCCGGCACATGTAGGCCGGCCCGCCGCGCGCGCGTGTGTGTATTTATCAGCATTCCGTGGGGACGACCAGGGCCGATCCGCTTATTTAAAAGGCGCGCCGGGGTGCGGAGGGAGGGGAGGCGACGCCCGGCTGACCGGAGAACAATCAGTGTGGGGAGATGGCCGGTGGGGAGGGGGAGAGCGAGAGACAAAATGCATTTACCGTGCGTGTTACGTGGTGAGCGTGTGTCGCGCCGGGCGCCGCCGGTGTCAGGTATGTGTGATCGAACCGGGACCAGCGCATCGGCGGAGCGCCCTCTTCTTGTGACCGGCTACCCTGTCCTTACCGTGCCTTCCTCTGTGGTGTTGAAATTGTTTTTACAATAAACGTCTAATTGTACACTCGTGACTTTAGGGAGATCGTGTTGCTACTGACGTAATCAACGAAACTGGAAACAAACACCGAATTCCAACGCGAACACGTCCACATTCTGACGCGTTGCAACATATGCAATACGAGTCCTTGAACCAGAAACGGGTCTCCAATTCGTACACCCAAGGTGACGGAAGCAGGTTGGTAAAGGTGGGACCTGCACGTGCAGTAAACACATCGGAACGTGCGGCTTTGTCGGAAATTTCGACGGAAAACACACAGGTGCGATACTCAACCGCAGTTTCACGTCCCACCAGAAACAAGCTTCCCCACGGAGTCGAAGTAAATTGTAAATATCCGACTGCTAACGCATTGTTGTGCAGTCTGTGTGCACACTGCGCAGAGATGAATTTTGAGAAGGGTAACACGATATCGCACCAGACGCACAATAAAATGTTGTGAGTTGCAGAAAAAGTCAAGAATGAGGACGCATGACGTATGAGGTGAGAGTATTCACGAGGTTTTCACTTGGCAAATTTCTTGGAAATAATATAACCTCCAGCTTCAGCTTCCAGCTTCCTTTCGAACAGAGGGTGTTTTAATTTAAACAATGTAATGGTATTCAATTGCAAGGAAGTTTTGTCAACACCATTGGGACCGCAGTCAGTGCCGGCACAAGGGACTAATCAAAATAAGGAATCGTTCCTGGAAGTGTACCCACAGATCTAAAAGGATTTAATGAGGGAACATACATATTGGGTAAACGAAGAGGAATATACCTTTATAAAAAAGCCCTGTCCAACTATGGACAAAAGCCCTGAACTCCGAATATAAACATTCCAGCGGACGGTCTGAAGTCTGCCGACAAGTCATCAGGCCAGCTGCTCTTGTCAAATGTCCGCCAACGTACCGAGCAGTAACTAGGAATGACGTATGTGCCAGGCGTGTACCAGGAAAACCAGTCAGCCAGATATATACTGCGCTGTGACCAATCGGCCCCTGGCCCGGCAGCCGACCATAAAAGGACGCGCATTCCTTCCAATGAATGGATGGCGTGCGCCGTGGCCCACGCTCGCGGCGGCCGCCGGCAAGGCGGTCCGAAAGGCTGCAACAGCCAGTGCGGTCGTACGAAAGGCTGCGGTCACCAGCTGGGAAGGGAATGGAGGGTGCGGATTGATGATACCGGAGCCACTGAACTGCTCTGGAGGTGCTGTGCCGCCCCAATAAGCCATCAGCGCTGATCATGTAGGTGTTGTGCCTCCCGCCGGTGCCCCTGAGGTGCTCCGCTGCCCGGTCGGTACAGCTCCAGAGGTGCTGTGCCGACCCTTGCTCACCAGCGCTGCCCATGGGAACGCCGTGCCTCCCACCGGTGCCCCCAGAGGTACTGCGCTGCTTGGTGGTCGCCGGCCCCACACGGACGGGAACCGGTTGGCCTATCCAGCAGCACGCCACGGTGGCCACCAACCAGCCTTATCGGAGAAGTCGGAGTGGCCACCGGTGATGCTATCTCAGTACACGAACCTGGAGACCAAGAGCCAGATCCGGCGGACCCGGCGCTGAGCGACTCTGGAGCTGACGGGTAGAGGCGATGACACATGATGGCATAGGATTCGAGAGTCAGCAACGTTAGCAGAACTTAGGAAAGAGATGCATGCCGAAAATGACGACGATGGTGGTAGCATTTGAAGACCGAAAATCGTGTACAACTGGAATTCGAAGGCCTTTACTTCTTACAAGAAGTAGCAGCTACCCACATTGCGCAAGGGCGCTCACTGAGAAGGGCATTGAGTAGGTGCGTGATACGAAGACCACCAAAACAGTGTGGAATCAGCAGCAGGCGCAGCGCCTGTCAGGGTCGGTAATGCCTGTGGCTGTTTGACTCAGTTGCCGCGCGCCGTTGAATCACACGCGACACTCATCTACCCGGTGGGCAGAATGACGTCAGGCGTTTGCTTGATGTTCAGCGGCATTAGGTGCCGCAACGGACGTCATACGACTCAGACTCGTAAAAAGCCGGTATCGAGTCCAGTTCAGTGCAGAGTCACGCCTTTCAAAGCCATATGAATCAATGCAACAGTGACTACCGATTAAAGTTCAGACATCATCCCGGTATCGATTGATCCCGTAGTGACAGCCACTGTAGTAATCTAAGCTGACACGACGCTGCAACCTACCTAGAAGCAGGCACTATGACATCAAAGATAGCACACAATCATGCTTAACAGGTGATAGCTTAGCTTGCAAAGTATACAGGAAGGAATCGGTAGTTGATATACAAAATAAACATGCATGCCGAAGAAAATGCGATTACCGCTCAGACAAACTCGGACGGGAAGTTATACAACAAGAGTAACCGCCGTTTCCGCCCAAAACGCCCGGTACCGACAGTCGGGCGGTAGTGTCTGTGGCGGCGGCGGCGGCGGCGGCTGTGGTGTATGACAGGCTGCAGCACACCCCACTACAGTAACAGACGGCTCGGGACACGCAGTCAGCAGTCGACCGCTGTAAAAACCGCACAAACCCACCGAGTCCAGATGGCCAAATAAGTCGGCTGGGACGGCGGCCGGTCCGCTCCTGAGATGGCTGTCCGATCGGAGGGTGGTGAGTCACACCGGCCGGCCCGCCCCGGCCCCTCGGAGGCAGCAGAGGCCGCCCGCGCCACCAGCCACCCCTCCACAGCACCACGGGCCGCCTACCCCCAGCGGCCTCCCTCAGAGGCACCGCAGGTCACCACGGCCCGCTCTCCGCCGGCTCCGATCCCTGTCACGATCCTGAGCCCCACGCCGGTCTGCTATCCCTGATCTTCGTCACGCCAGTCCCGACAGACGTGCAGAGGTTCTGATAGCGGTCTGCGGGCTGCGACTGACGACCAGCCAGCTTTAATGTCAGCTATGATTTCAAACAGAACGACGAGCATGGATAATGGAAATCCATGGACAGTGATACTGCACGGCAGGCTTTTCAATGCCTCGGCACATGTATTGGGAGCCGGAGCTCTCTCTTCCATGGTTTGCCTGCTCAGTTACGGAGCAGACTCAGTCGACCACGTGCCCTGAATAAAAATGTTGTTTCGATTTCGAAACAATGGCGCGACCCAACGCCAACCCAACCCAATCTGAGACGTAAGCAATGGTACTGTGTGGCCAAAGGTGGTACGGCAGCTTCGTTACGGCAACGCTAGATGTCACGCTGAGGACCTAACAAGGCCGGTTCACAACCGTGTATCTATAAAATATGTGCAAAATTAGCGCTTTGTAGTAGATAGCAGACAATGTAAAAGTGTGGTCCGTCATTACAGTATATTTTATCAAAACCTACACAGCAAAGCTTTATAACTACACAATAGTTCTGACCAAGTTCATCGCAAGCATACTCATATAAAACAAAACAGAGCACATTCCCGACTAGGAGAGGAGTTAAAGACCCGTGAACACCATAGTCGCTACCGCTGGAAAGGATAAAAGTCGAGCTTGGTGTTGGGCTTGAACTTCTTTTGGCGCTGCTCCTTCTTTTCGACGGCCGCCAACATTTGTTTGACCTCGGCCCTGGAGGGAGAAGTTGAGAATAATCAGGGGACTTTCACAGCCTATACACCCTGCGACCTCTCTTACCCAATATACAAGAGAGGTATATTGGGTGAACCTCTCTAAAAGGTTCACCCAATATACCTCAACTGGTTTGTAAACCAGTTCTACATTGGGCATCGCCCTGCATGCCCAATGTAGAAGTTCAGCATTGGGCATGCAGGGCGGAAGTTGAATATCTATCCGATAAAATGTCTAGCATTGTTGAGTACGAACTTGGTGATCAATTTGCATATAGCGTTTATATTGCGTGCACCAAGTCATCGTTCAAGAATCGAGCAATATATCAATATGTTCACTATTACATAAAGCACGGCCTGCTGAGCGTCCTTTGGAAGAATGAAGACGGACAAAATCGATATAGATCGCATAAGTTTGACAAGAAATCCGATAGTCAAACCACGTACTTATTCACAGTTATGTAAGACCTGTACAAACCAGTTGTAATTCAACTGCATGAAGATTGACTTCACTTTCTTATGATGAGTTGGAAATTTGTATGTTATGCACACATTAAAATGATAGATTGTAAGACTCTTTCCGCAATCAAGAAATCGCATGCGAAAGCTTATTCAAATACATGGAAGCACGCTCGCATCAATCGCACGCACCTCCCGCATGCGATTGATGCGGGCAGAATTATAATGCATTTGAATAGGCTCTCGCATGTGATTTCCCGAATGCGGAAAGAGCCTGTTTCAGCCTAAGTCCTTAGTGGACAGCTGTGTACCGAGCAGCCTGACCTCTCGTCAGGGACTCGGGAGTCGGGACTGACCTGTAGGGCGGCGGCATGGTCTCCTCGTGGAAGGTACACTGCTGCGGTTCCGGCTCCTCCACCTTGAACACACCGTAGCGGACGACGTCCACGTCGCGGCCGGCAAAGTCCATCACGTCAAATACTCGCGCCGGCGGTATGTCAAACTCCACACGGAAGTAGCTGGAACAGACCGCCAGCCGCTTGTTACAGGAAGAAGGGGAGGACGTGAGGGACACCTGTGACTTATTCGGCATCATACACCGGTGAGTAGTACGAGAATGAGCACGCAATAGCCACGCATGTCTTGGTAATTTGATCTCCAGAGGTAGAGCCCCATAACACTCGATCCTCATATCACTCTTTAGTCTTTATCTGTTCCCACTGCCGTGAATGTTGGTCTCTCCAGCAAATCGTCCCCGTTACTACCGTAATTGCCGCTCCAGCCTCCATCTCGCTAGCAGTTAATCTCAGTCTGTCTGGTCTCTCACTGTCGGCCCATCTCGCTCTGACCAAAAATGCGTTCCGCGTATGTTTTATAATTCAGCATAAACGCACCGTGAACATCTGTACTTGATGCCGCCGGAAGACAGTAAACGAGAATGGAGGGGGCGGCCACCAAACAGCTCGCCCACCGATCTCAGTTTGGCCTTCACCCGAATAAGACTCAAATTGCGACTCTCCAGCTCGCGGTCTAAGGTGCGGCACGTCACTACGCCTAGATGGTAGATGGCGCCACAGACCAGGAACTGTCAACACTTACTAAGTCACTGGACATTGCTACACAAATCTCCCACTGCCATTTCCACCCTTTTTAGACCCCCAGTAGGCCAGTACCCCTCCCCTCCCCACACACACTGTCCGCCAATCCGCTCCCCCAGTCCCCCCTCCCAGCCCCACACCCCTTCTCACCTGCCCTCGGAGTGCCGCAGACCGTGAGCGGCCATCCTGCTGGGTAGTGCTCGCGTGCCCAGGCTCTCCACCTTCCGTATGTAGCCGCCCCTGTCCATCACCAGTTCGGCCGTCCGCTTCACCGTCTGCACCAATGCCGGCTGGCGGTCACAGGGCCGGTGCACGGTTATGGTCAATGGGTGCGGGTACAGAGCAGCACGCTGCTATTACACGTGTCAAATTGGGTTTCCATGGAAACATCAACAAACCATGCCGTCGTCAATCTGTGTGATGTTATCAAATATTGCTGCTAACATCTTCACGGCCGTGCAATCAAACAAATGTATCAAACGCATTCAACGAGACAGCAACTCTGTTCCAAACGTAGCTATGAAAAAACTCACGGATTACACGAAACATCATTAGTGTGATGTCATCACATTATGTTAGCAGTCGCGCAATTTGATAGCAGCATGCTGCTATCACCGGTGAAACAGGCCCCCATGCGCCAGCGCCGGTGCAAGGCAGCGATTAATGGGTCCAGTCAGGGCACATTCTCGGGTCATTCTCAGTGAACATGTCTGGAGCTGAGCACAGTCTCAGCTCACAGGTTCAGTTAAAGCACAGCCACATGAAAGGGGTCCTCACATAGCACAGTCATAGGTCAGAGCACAATCACAGGTCAGCTCAGGGATAATCACAGGTCTACTCAGGACAGTTACATAACCATTCAAGACAGCCACATATTTGTTCAGGGCACAGTCACAGGTTTTGCAAAGGTCACAGTTCTGATCAAGAGCATAGTCATTGATAAATTAAACAATTGTAGCTTATAAAATAGTATGGAATAATAACCTTATGCTCATTCTTCAAAAAAAAAAAATTGTTGATAATGAAGTAGCTTACTAAAGGCTAGGCACTCTGTCCATGAAACTGACTACAAAAGCACAATCTATGTGCATGTTAGAAAAACTTATTCTGAAAATTAAAATGTTAATAAAATCAAAATAATACCAAGAGTGTGGGAGACATGATGTTCATCATTTGTTTTTGAAACATACCTTTTGCATTTTTCTAAGAAGAAGAGAAATCTCATATGTTGGCATTGTTGCTTTTATCTGAAAATAAAAGTAAGAAGTTAACTTCCCAGATACAACACACTTGGCCATTCACAGTGACACAAAAACATTCAACAGTCAACAGCCCAAATGGTCATATTCACAACATGCCAATGAATTTAACATCAGGTGGTATTTGAAAGACTGCAAAGTGCAAAAAAAGAGGCTATCAATGCAAAAAAGAAATGTTTGCTGAGTGTAAAGTATGAGAATTGTGATAAACTGAATTGGTTCCTCTACTACAACAATTAACTTGAGCAATATTTTTCCTGAGCAGTTAAGCTCTGTGCTCAGTGCTGTGATGTCTGCTAAACAGCTAAAGTCATCTACTTTGTGCAGTTCTACTGGAATCGTGGTAAGATTACGGTTAATTAGTTCACTGAAAATTGTTGATCAGATTAACTGACACATTTTTCGGTATTAGTATATATTAGGTCCGAGTGGACAATTGTGACGCTGTTGATACAAATTTGTAACAGCAAAAAATTTAGGTTTTAGGTTAGGTTAGGTTGTAGGTTTGTAGGTTTTAGGTTTTAGGTTGTAGGTTTGTAGGTTAGGTTAGGTTAGGTTGTAGGTTTGTAGGTTGTAGGTTGGTAGGTTGTAGGTAAATAGGTAAGGTTAGGTCAGGTTTGATTATGTTTTTCTTTTATTTCCAGGACATATAAGTATCATTTTTGGATTCAGGATGTCAAATAATGTAAGAATATGAAAACTTTATCTTTTAACAGTCACTCGGACTTAATGTATACTTTTACCCATTTTTCTTCCTAAACATGAGTTTCTTTATAGAATGATGTCTATATTATAGGAATTAACCAATATCTGAACTGGGACAAAATGAGATGGAAAACATGACCTGGTTTAAAGCCAGCCTAGCTGAAAACATGCTCAAACATCATAGCCAGTTACTACCCATTCAAAATAATTAAATCATCAATCGGAAGCACTGGTGGGTCGAATCTGAAAACAGGGTGCTGGAGGGCATATAAGTCAGTGAAGTCACATAATTACCATGAAATTATGTATCTTAAAAACCCTTGAAAATTTAGGTTGTCACGTGACAATTTCAGGAGCCTTGATCGAATCGCCCCAGGCACCCTGTTTTTATATTCCACCCACTGGTGCACTGATGAAAGGTGCACTTATTGTCAAACTTCAAAGTACAGGTTTGTGTACTTTCACTGTTTACATTCTGATTCTGCTCAAATTGTGCTTTTGCTTTGATAAAGGTGGAAAGAGTTCAGTTACAATAAACACAGATAAGCAGAAACATAGGTACTACCTTGCTATATGTGATAAGCAATCACTGCCGTTTCTATGCAGTTGCAGTATGTGCGAAGAATTGCCCTTTTGCTCCAATACTATATCAAATATCAATATTTCAAAATGAAATTTGTCTATTGAAGTCACTTTTCAGCTTTTCAGTATATATGGCCTTGCTTTTCAGGAATAAAATGTTCTAAGGGTGGATGAGTCCAGTTCACCGTTGACTGGAACAACACTTGTCAATGTACATTTTTTCGCTTTCTCATGCAAAAAAAAAGCTCAAAGCTGTTTTTTGTTTTTAGTTTACTTCAAAAATAACCTTTGTAACAAATTATATTAAATTTAAAAGCAATTTCAAAAAGAAATTTGTCTGAAACACTTTCCTAATTCGTCTGAATTTGTTTACGGTAATAGGTAAGAACACTATAGTGCTGTTTCAAAAATGCCTTTGCTGCGCCACTGATGTCTTTCAGAAGCGATGCCATATGGTGCCCATATCGAACTTGGGGGAAAGAGTGGAGTAGTAATTTTTACTAGAGTAAGCACGTTTGTTTTGTTGGGTTAGGCCCTTTCGGTCTGACCGCTGACGAGACCATCTCGCATGTCTTTCGGTCTGACGAGACCGGGACAGAAATCGCATTGAAACGGCGGCCAGGAAGAGTGGCCACTTGGTTAATAATAGCCGTTTTCACGACGGCCATCTGGAACACATTTGGTGCACATCTGGTGCAGATTAGGTGCAGATTTGGTCAAATTAGGTTCAGTGAGTCTCTTTCTTAGTAGCTATCAGCTAGGGTTGCACTTATTGCTTATATGCCTACTTTGTCATATTATCAGAGAGCATCATCGATTAAAGCACTGAAATAAATACATGAAATGAACAAATTTGCTGTAAAAGAGATTAGGTGCAGATTTGGTCAAATTAGGTGCACTCGCCGGATAGCCCGTCGTAAAAAACAGCTAATTTGGCCAAGCTACTTACGCTCAAGGACTATCTCATCCCCAGACAGGACCATGAGACACTACATATTAGAAGAGTTCGCTGAGGCTCATTACCAACAAAAGCCTCCAGCGGCTCAGTTCTGAGTCGACGCATGGCCTCGACGGTCGATGGCAGGTCAACATGACATTTCATGCAGGACGGCGCGCCAGCTCATTGCTCTACCAAGGGCCAGGTGGTTGTGCGAATCGAGCCTGCCAGATTTCTGAAGAAATTAACCGGCTACCATCCGGACCCTAATCCTGAGCGAGGATCTTTGGGCTACCTTCCAGCAGGACATAGACAAATGGAATCCGGCGGCCAACCTCGGCGCCTTGCAGTTACAGCCAAACGGGCATAGTCGAAATTCAAGCTGTCTGTGCAGTGTGCTATATAAGCTGGTTGCCATCACGACAAATTATGTTCGTGCGTAAATCCCTGTTCATATTAATAACAAAAAAGTTAATGTTCGGCCTTAGCGTCGATGGAAATGGTGAAAATAATTCTGAAAAATTACCCGGCTGTGAGAAAAAGCACGGATGAAAGATAGAAGATATCCCAGAAGATATGTTGGCCCCCCTTTCAGAGCCAAAAGGGGGGCATGGCCCTAATGGCCCCCCTGGATCCGCCATTGGAGCTCAAATCAACGCATCCAAAGTGTTTTTTATCGCTCTAGCATATAGGTAGGTATAGAAATTATTGGCGTAAGCTGTTAAAAAAGAGACCTTTCATGAACTATGTGATGAATCCAGATGTTTATTTAGGTATGGGTGCAGTTTCCCAATCCAGCATTAAATATCGACAAGTAACGCAATGTAAGTGACTAGTGTCAATAATGACTCTCGTTCAAAAATTCGCAGTTCACTTCCCCCCCCCCCCCCTTTGAAAGATCTCAAAATTGACCACACCCGTTAGCCTAGGTCACGCGGATGTTGAAAGTCCGAGACACACGTTTTATACATCCCCACTATTCTATCGTTAAGAGATGTGAAACATCGGTCAGCCGGTTTAACTCTGATGAACATAAAGTGTTTCTTTTTTAAACCACTTGTCTCACGCTTCATCACAGTTTCGCCGCATGGTTTATTCGTCAGCTCTCGGATTCCTAATCACATCCCCTTCAATAATCACTCCGCCTCTATCGCCATCGAAAGGTGGGCACATCTGTCTCAATCGCGCAACTGTTTTTACTTGTTTTTCCCACAGTGTGACTGACACGACCTAAGCGCTCATCCCTCTGGGCTGTCTGACGCTGAAGACACGTCACCCTGACCAGCTGCACCGGCGCGGCGGTCGATGCAGATCTCGCGCTGCGCTCCCATCAGCTAGCCCCGCCACCGTCTGCTCCTGCTATCCAATAAGACCACGGCGAATTTAGCCACCTCACACTGTTATTAATGGTACTTATCAGCATGTGAATGCGTTTAGTTCACGGGCTTCTGGCTGCCGATCTAGCAGCGGCGTGGCCTCCAGATCGGTCCGCCAAACTGCATGGCCGCGCTAAAGGCAGAAACTTTGGACACGAAAACCGTCTCTGTGACGGCAAAAACTGGGAACGAACCAATGTCGTGTGATCGAACAACATAGAGTCGACCAGGTCTCAACCGGGTGCTACGGGTGTGATCAGAGGCCTACATCGAATTCACCGGCCACGGTGAAAAAATTAGACGACGAGGTAGTTTTTGACCAACGCGAGAAAGCGTTACGAACAACTGCTAAGGCATGTGTTAAAAAAAAAAACTGAAAGACAACTTTGCATCGCATGTAACAATGACAAGCGATTATCGGTGTATGTACATAAGTGGGACTCGTGAGTCCATGTTGAAGTAAAATATTTTGTTATAAGTGTTATAAGTAAATTATTGGATAAGACGTGTAGTAATCTTGGATGGAGCCCTTCTTCCCTCGGCTTCTTTGGTATACTCTTACCAAAGATACCGCCTGAAACTTAATAAAAAACGTTTAAAAGAAAAAATGATATATGTACCTAAATGTTAGATAGCATTGCGCAAAAAGCCTCCGTCGTCTCCCTTTAGGTCTCGAATAAGAAGTTTTTCAGTAGCAAATCCAATCAAACCAAATTAACGGTATAGGTATGTGCTATGAAAAAGTATCATTCTGCAATTAGTTCTTTTCCATGCATTATTATTAGCTCTTTCCTTCCTTACCCCTTCCCTCTCTCTCTCTCTCTCTCTCTCTCTCTCTCTCTCTCTCTCTCTCTCTCTCTCTCTCTCTCTCTCTCTCTCTCTCTCTCTCTCTCTCGCTCTCTATCTCTGCCTCTTCTCTCTCGCCCCTTCTCCCATCATCCCCTAATCCCGCGGGGAGAGAGCCGCATCATTTTCCTGGACCTCGGCTCTCCTACCTCGTTTTCCTAGTGATCCCATTGTTTGGGAATTTGCCTCTGGTCATTATCGGCCGAGAGGAGGGTTAGCGTCTGTGCGCAGCGGGACTCCGGCCCGGTAATCTCGGATCAAACACACGCCAAGGCATGATTATCTGTTGGACAGGACAGTAACCATTGTTACATACTCGGACAGCTAAAGAGTACCTACAGATGTTGCAGCCGTATGGCTACCTTTCGTACAGCGGGCGTTTCTCCGAAAACATCATTGACTCCATGTCATTAGAGATGCTATAGATCACGCCTGGTTTCCGGCGTCTGCGTTCTGGTAACGCATGCTTACTGTGGTCAGAAACGTGCGTTGGTTGGGGTCCTTGCGATTGTCAGCAAGTTTGTAACGTTAGGAGTTCCCAAGTGCAAAGGTAAGAAGGTAGGTAAGTTATGTTGCAAGTATGTACCTAGTTTTTACTTCTAAAGAAGTTGGAGCTGCGAAAAACGCACAGGAAACCTTGCTTTTAGCATTGTGTTGTGCTGTCCAAACTGTATCTGCCTTCTTCATTAGATAAGGGATTTCAGATTATTGTCTCGAATCTCAGGAAGTGAGGAGTGATTTGGAGCAAACAAACAGTGTCCGTTTCATGCACGCTAACGCTACTCCTCGTTAAAAAGTACTTACATGACTGAAGGCGTCGTCTTTGCTAATAATGCGTCGTATTGCTTTGCAGTTACTGCACGGCAACGGTTCTGTGATACCGAACGGGTTGAAGCCGTTGCGAAACAGCTGGAGACGATAAATGTACCTAAGCACAATGTCAGATTACTTGACACGAGTTTGGCTGGAGGTCGCCCAAAATGGTTGATGGCGGCACGTGCTGGACTGTGGCTGTACCGAGTGCAGGGCTGACGGCGGTCCGTTGTGACCAGTAGCGGGCTGATAAATTTACCGGGCGTGCCATACCGACTGATGAGGCGCTGTCAACGTACGGCGCGTGACGGGCCGTCGATGGGCGCCTCTCTCCGACAGATGCCGTGCCGACACCGCGCCGACAGCGGGCGCGTCGATACCGGCGCCGGGCGCGCGCCGCCGCCCGTGTGGCCGCGGCTATTTTGTCACGCCCGCCGGCCGGTGGCGGAATATCACGGACCCGCCTGTTGGAACGGAGGCAGACCGGACCGGCGGCCGCAGAAAAAGGCAAAGAAGAGCCAAGGAGGCGGCCAACGTCCGCCCACCGATGGCTGTACCTGACGTCCGATGAATGGAATTTTATCAAATGTGATTACCTAACGGCCCGTTTCAAATAAATGTCATAACAGTTACAGCCTTAACCCTCGCATGTGTGCGGCGTTTGCCAGCTTCTAATGTGTAGGGGGGGGGGGGGTCGGTTGGACCCCCCCTTGCCGTTTGGCCCCTGATCGAGCTAGAGCTTCGCGGAAAAAACGAGCGTGTTGCCCGTGACGAGAGGAAGCCGATGATACCCAATTTTAAGGTCCTAGGTCATTGGTTGACCTTCCAGATCAGGTCAATGACCCAAAGTCGGGAAAATCGGGACCTGTTAGAAAGTCGTAAAGTGTGGCTGCTAAGGGGTTTTTCGGGGTGCTGATCACGAATATCGTGTTAGTTTTGATCACAGATGATGTCTTGAAGCATTTAGACCAGGTCGGGTCAGGTCAGGTCAGGTCAACCAGTAGGCGTCGTGACGGGTATTCGTAGTACGTGTCAACCGCCTCTGACAGCTTCGTAACATGTTACGAAGTCACCAAAACTACTTCGTAAATGTTCAAATGGTTGCTAAATTCGAATTCAGCTCCAAAAACTAGCCTAGAAACATGTAAAACTCGAAAAAGTGACCCGAGGTCACCCGAGGTCACCAAAGGTCAATGACCTGACCTGACCTTCAGGTGACCTTGACACACACGGGAGTAGGGTAAGGTGCCTAATTAGCGACCCCCTTAATTTGAACCGTCATTGCTGACGCTCTGTGGGTGCCACTGTATTACTGGCTTGATTTTCGGATAGATCGTTCATTTTTCTATTAAAATATAGTCATTTTCTGCCCCAATATTCACTAACTTATTTGAAGTGAGCATTTTGGCAAACCATTGCAAAAAACGCTAATAGGGAACTCTTCCCGATTAGCGACCGGGGAGGGTCGCTAATAAGTCTATGGGTTTCCCCATATTAAAAATGGCAAAAAATGCGACGCCTGAAAAGATGAAATATGATCTCAAAAAGGTAACCTATACGCAAAGCACTCAACCACTCGAACAGGAACGTTTGTTTATCCAACACATTTACGTAAGTAAGAACTGATCACGTGATGCACCGAAGGCGAAAAGAAGGCGGAAACCCAAATTTTGCGGGCTATCTCGTATGATATTCGAGGTCCGCGCTGAATTCGGCACCCCTGCAGTCGGTGATGACATTTGACATCCCCTGCCAAACATTGCAAGCTTCACCAACACCTCATTTTCATTTCTCTCTTTTCCCCTTTCTTTCCCTTTTTGAGCTATTTGCGACCATGTCAGGCGCAAATAGGAAATATGAGTTACGACACATTTTTAACCGCCATGCTGTGCACAGTTAAAGGAAATAGTTCACTTTTTAACATGGGTTTTGAACTGGAATAGCAGTTCCGTAGCTTGGGCTGAGACGAGCATAAATCAGGAGCTTTTACAGCCCAACGATCACCCTAGGCAAAGATATTCTATTTCTCGTCCCGAAAAAGGTGTCTTGCGTTGAGGATGTGTGCCTTGCATATATTTCCATCCAGTATGAAAAGAGCATGGGTCCCGAAAATTCTTCAGAAACTAGAGAAATTATCTACGAGAACTCTAGAGAAATTCTCGTACTGATCAATTAGGACATTCAGGGGAACATATTTATCAGATCGAGCAGATCGCCCAAATGCCGGTGGCTGCGATAATTTCTCTGTTTCTGAAGAATTTTCGGGACCCATGCTCTTTTCATACTGGATTGCGTGTGCCTTACAGAAACTGAAAAGTTCTTCCTATATCAAAATATAGAAAATAATATTTTGTTATAAAAAGGTTTTATTTTCTTTGCTGATTATTTTGAACATAAAAAATCATAAATCCGTTGCAAAAAAAATAATTTCGTGAAAGTGAACTATTTCCTTTAAGCGATTCACTATGGGAAAACGGCAATCAATTGAAAAAGGAATGTCGATTCAGAATAAAAAAGGCGCATCATCCTAATATGCATCGCTTTTCATCAGAGAGGTCCCAAACGCGCACGTTTTGGATAAGAAACTCGTCATTTTTATTTAAACTCACCTGGAACGTCCCACCAGAAACATCGACAACCGTAAAACAATGTAATTTGATAACCAAAGTATGGCTGACCTTTTGACGATGTTTTTACCCCGTTTTCTTCTGTCAGTTTTTCTGTAGGGAGGCAGGTCGCAAATCGGAAAGGGTCGCTAATTAGGCACCTTACCCTAACATCTAATCACATGTTTGAACGTTTGAAACCACGAAAAGCTTGCAAACACGCGGCTAGTGCGAGCCGACATACGCGAAATCGCGATTCCGGCCAAACATGGTCTCGGAAAAGAGGTCACAGGTCAAAGGTCATTTGGGTCAGGGTCATGAAATTTTCAGGGTAGGTGTAAAATTGATCAATGCGAGGGTACTGAAAGTTTCGTCGCGATCGGCCGCTTTTTACGCGAGTTATTCGCGAAAAACCATGGGGGGGGTCCATCCGACCCCCCCCCCTACACATGCGAGGGTTAATTAGGTTCAGCTAATAATTTGTGACTTTTTTGCCTGATATTTAATAGTACCTAGTAACCTAGTGTTACTTGAAATGATGATGAATGATGATTTAATAATTGAACAATTTAATAATTCCATACTATACCACCGGATTTTGGAGTAGGGTATTTCTGGGGCGGCCCGTACTGAAGATTCATTGTGTCCTCAGCCGTCGAGCACAAAGCACTCCATTTTACACCGCACAAAGCGCTCATTACAAGTGGCCTCAACCTGACCAGCGCGCTAACTCACTGGCATTGATCCCGGGAACGCCGGCTCCGAGCTCTTTTTGAAGGTAGACCATTTGTAAAACGAAGAACGCCTTCACTCATTACATTATAGTGTTTGTCAGTCCGCTTTGAACACGGAAGTTATTTATTGCCTCGCTGTGGGCCAGCAACAATATCCTTTCAAACACTATATTCTAGGGGTGCTAAGACGAAGAGGCATTTGAAAGGTGCAGTGAAATGAAGAAATGAGACCACTTATGAATGATCATCGGTGTGTAGGATCATGGTGCGACAGATTAGGTATGCTGCCTAGTTACTTGTAACTCTTAGATGAAAAGCTGGCAGGTAGCTGATAATTATGCCTCTCCCGAACGTCTTTTTTTTTTGCCAGGTTGTGATAAAAAACAGCACATCCCTTTGCTATAGATTTAGATAAAAACTCAACACCTATTTATCAGTTTCTCTTTTTATAAACATCAAGACCATCAGCCTGCGAAGGACAGGGAGACGGACAAAAAGCCAAAGCATGTAAGAGATCCACTGACTTTTTTCTTTTTTTTCTGACAAACCACCTAGGCGTTATATCTCCTGAGCCATCTGTCCGGCGTTTCATATATCAGTCCGTCCATACCTATATTTTCGGCCTGGGCCGTGCATCTGATCCCGGCCGTTCTCCGGCGGCCCGGTCTGATTCCTCGGGCCGCTTGGGATGTCGTTGGGCCCCGGCTATGGTCGTTCGAGGGCGGGGGAGGTGGTGAGCCGGCCGGTCCTAGATTAGAGGTCGGGGAGGAGCAGGGAGGAAAGAGGAACTGGGAGGAGGAGGACGAGCTGGAGAGAAGAGAGAGGAAGAGGATATGCAGCGCCAGAGAGGAGAGAGAGTGAGAGAGAGAGAGAGAGAGAGAGAGAGAGAGAGAGAGAGAGAGAGAGAGAGAGAGAGAGAGAGAGAGAGAGAGAGAGAGAGAGAGAGAGAGAGGTGCAGAGCGCAGCGACGTGCACTGGACCGACTGCCATGGGTGAGACCAGGCTTTCTGCACCGATGGACGCTGCAGTACGCAGCAGCAAAAGCACGGGGACATAGAGAAACATTCAGGGAAAAGATATCATCGCAACTGTGCGGCCTGTTCCTGATCGGAGCGCCGTCACATGTCCTAACTCTGAGCTCCCAACCATAAACCAGGCCATTACAGGCCGACCAGAGCGTCACGCCGCCACTTCGACCAGCTCTAACTGGCGCTGATAGGGGATTACCGATAGACGACTCCGAGCTCATTGGCCGCTCATTTCCGACTCATTCGCGGCCGTAGTTAGCCACTTTGGTCTCAGTCGCGCCGCGGTGGATTAGTTATCTTGCTGAAATCGATGGTGTGGGACGGGCTACATGGCAGGCTGAGATCGGCACTGTGACAGGTCGATAGCTGAAATGTAACTGGATTTGAATCGACCCTATAGGACTGGAAAGGATCGCTACTTTAGGGTGAATTGGGAGCAATGCGATAGGACGGGGTTACTGGATTCACTGGGTCTGAGTCGGTGGTACTGAGACTGGTCGGTCGAACTGGACTAATTTTGGCCGTAGTCTGGACAGTACTATACGGGCCAGACTGGGTCGCTCGGACTGAACCATTTCTGGCCGTGATCCGATCGGCGCCGCCGGGCCCGGCCGACCGAGCCGTCGCTCCGCCGAGCGTCGCCGGCTGCCCAGTTCTCACAGCTGCTGATGGCGCCGGCAGAGCCGGTACATCGTCAATCGCTAATGGCAGCGGCCCGGATACCGGTTCAAACTCCCCGATAACGTATTGCTCTTTATTTGGCTTGGCTTGGATGAGATCGCAATTGAGTTATGATGATCATGCGTAATGCGTTTCACAATCACTTGCTCATAACAATAGACAGGACAACGATTCTCAGCAGTTGTGGAATGAAACGGCTACTGAAGTTATTGATTTTGGTGATAAATTACTTTGGTAAATAAACGAACATGACAGTGTCACCGTAACATCTGCCGTTCTGAATGCTGAATAGCAATCAAAGCACACGAGCGCCTGAGCGGAATATTATTTCAGTAGTTTCATCAACCTTTCTATAGACTACATAGATCCGACATCATTAACAGCATTACCCATTTCATCTACTATGAGTACGAGCATTTTAAACTGAGTTGAGTATACCCATCACTAGACCCACTGCTGTCCCTGTAGCTGCGAGCACGGCGACCCGCTGTACTCCGGGTCACTGGTACTGTCTGCCGCGCGCCGGGAGCGGGCCCGCTCCAGAGAGGCCGCCGAGCAGGAGTCGCACTCCCTCTGAGCCACACCCGCGAACGCCGTCTTCCTGTGGCTGTGACCTGCGCTCTGACCGGCCGCCGGGTCCCGGTCGCCGCCACTGTCCCCGGCCTGTCCCGCGGCTGCTCGCGCCGGCCGCTGCCGCCGGTCCGTCACACATTTCACAGTTACCAGCAGCAGCACTGAGCCCACGGCGGCCGCCGCCACCGCGCCGCCCACCAGCAGCAGGTCGTGTCTGAACGACACTCCGGTCGGCGGACCCCGGCCGCGCCCCAGCACTGAGTTCACGCCGGGCGCGGAGCCCGCCTGCGCGAGGCTGGCCGCGCTGACCAACAGCACCGGCAGCCGCAGTCTGGCCGGCTGCACGCGCGGTGCGCTCAGCTCCAACTCGATACCGCCGTCCAGCGTGTCGTTGGCGCCCAGAGGAACGTCCACAGACACAAACACCACGGCACCCTGGGCTACCTCGGCGTGCGTGAAGGAGGTTAGGTTCCAGACGGGCTGAGACCCGGCCCCACTGCCCCTGTCACCACCCTCACCACCGTCCCCGCCACCACCGCTGCCCATTCGCTGAGAAACAAAGCCCAGTCGAGATCCACGCACGATCCGGAAGACTGGGTTACTCTTTGTGGCAGCGGCTAGCTGCGAAGCGTCTAGAACTGCAGGCCCGATGACCGTTTGGCTCGCCGGCACCGCCCGCAGCACTGAGACTGTTACCAGCGGCCGCACGTGTACGGGTATCGCCACCGACGTCACCACGTTCAGCTCGTCGTAGACACAGACCTCAAATGAGTCGTTACTAGCCTGCATGTCTACCTGACGGTAGGTCACACTGCTGGAGTCTACAGCGGCCAGAGAAAAGCGCGTCGCTGGGTCGGAGGTCACCAGGAGCTCACCGTACCGCGGCTCACGGGTCACGTTGAAGAAGACGCGTTCCCTGAGGCCGTTGGTTGTGACGGAGAGCAGATCGGCGCCAAGCACAGTATTGCTCTCTCCCTGGGTGATCTCCACAGGGTTGGTCACTCGTACCTCTAACGTCAGCGGTTCGATGGTGATGACGAACCCCAGCACCAAAGGCTGGTGGTGTCCGTCACTGACGCTGAAGTGGAACTGGTCGCTGCCTAGCGAGCCGTCCTGCCGGTACTGCAGCCTGCCCAGGTTCACGTCCTCTTGACTGAAGGTGATCACCCGCTTTCCGGGGGCCTCGGCACGCTCCAGCACGCCGCGGCTCGGCCCGTTGATGATGCGGAATACGATGTCGGCCGGCGGGTTATCGGCGTCGATGACGTGCAGGTGCGTGTGCTCGATGACGACCGTCTGTTTCTGGACGACGCGCACGCCCGGCGCCGGCGTCTCCAGGCGGAACGGCTGGTCGTTGACGGCCGTGATCGTCACCTCCACGGAGCCGTTGTAGAGGAGCACGGTACCAGCCGGCGTCACCAGCAGCAGGCTGTAGCCGAAGCTGTCCTCGCTGCTGTCCGAGTGATCGTGCTGGTAGACCAGCCGGCCATCGGCGATGTCGCTCGCAGTCAGTCGACTGTCGAGCGGTACCGAGAGCGCCCCGTGCCGCGGAGGTGTCGTGAGCCGGACCCGCAGCTCGGGAGCCCTCCCGGCGGCCGCGTGGCTCCGAAGGAACGCCGCCACGCCCTCCACGTCCAGCTGGCGGGGTGTGACGGTGCCGCGGCCGCCCTCTGTCACCGCAAGCGGCACGGCGGCCGTGTACCCCCGCAGACCTCCTCGTGTCATGGCGGTCACCGAGACACGCACCGCCAGCCGGACGGGGGTCAGAGGGCGGGCGTGCGGCGTCTCCACCCTCAGCAGCACGGCGTCGCGACCGGAGAGCGCGTCCAGCGGCGCCTCCTGCTCGTACAGCACCCGGCTGGCGTTGATGTCCGCCTGGGTGAAGGAGCTCACCTCACGAGTCCGGCCGTCCGGGCCCTCCCTATGGCACAGAGTGGACAGGTTATACGGGCGTCGGTCACAGGTTATACGTGTTCAAGGATAAAATGAAACCAGTGTGTATATGGTTGGATTTTTTAATGCCACTCAAATTAAGCAAACATAAGCTAGGGTAAACATACCTGCAATTTTATCTGTAATCATTATTTGTCGCATCGAAACGATCATGACGAAAATCCATTTCGCTGGTATAACAATCATGCTCGAGTCTGGTGTTACGCATGGCCGCAATTTGCAGTTACCTGGTGATTTTGCCGAGCTTGGGCTTCTGAAGCACCGTGTAGGTAATGTGTCGCGGCGTCGAGCCGGGGTCGTTGGTGCGCGCCAGAAGGTGTCCCCGGGTGATGGTTTGCTGCATTGTCGGGAACACGTGCAGCCGACTGTTGGTGGCCATTCGTAGCTGGAGCTCCTCGACAGAGAGCACCAGTGGCTCCGGTGGACTCTGGTGAACGCCGTCACTGACGCTGATTTGGAGAGTGCAAGAGTCGCTGTCTGGAACGAATACATCCTGCAGCTTTAGTCGCTACGACATTGCGTGGGAGCTCTGGAAAGTTCATCCACCCCCATCAGCTCATCAACCTATTCTAATCATAACTCAATAGTTGGAACTCATACAAAATCCTGAACAATGCTTCAGAACTGCTCTTTACGCGTCGCCGCCTTGAAAACTGTCGATTTAGCGCGTTTGAGGCCGTAAATAATAACCAGCAGGCGTCTGATGGACATTGCGGCACAGTATAACCAGCAGGCGTCTGACGGACACTGCGGTACAGTATAACTCACAGGCGTCTAATGGACACTGCGGCACAGTATAACCCACAGGCGTCTAATGGACACTGCGGCACAGTATAACAGCAGGCGTCTGACGGACACTGCGGCACAGTCTAGCCAACAGGCGTTTTACATGCGCTGCGGCACAGTATAACCCACAGGCGTCTAATGGACACTGCGGCACAGTATAACCAGCAGGCGTCTGACGGACACTGCGGTACAGTATAACCAGCAGGCGTCTGACGGACACTGCGGTACAGTATAACTCACAGGCATGTAATGGACACTGCGGCACAGTATAACCCACAGGCGTCTAATGGACACTGCGGCACAGTATAACAGCAGGCGTCTGACGGACACTGCGGCACAGTATAACCAGCAGGCGTCTTACGGACACTGCGGCACAGTCTAGCCAACAGGCGTTTTACATGCGCTGCGGCACAGTATAACCCACAGGCGTCTAATGGACACTGCGGCACAGTATAACCAGCAGGCGTCTGACGGACATTGCGGTACAGTATAACTCACAGGCGTCTAATGGACACTGCGGCACAGTATAACCCACAGGCGTCTAATGGACACTGCGGCACAGTATAACCAGCAGGCGTCTGACGGACACTGCGGCACAGTATAACCAGCAGGCGTCTGACGGACACTGCGGCACAGTATAACCCACAGGCGTCTAATGGACACTGCGGCACAGTATAACCCACAGGCGTCTAGTGGACACTGCGGCACAGTATAACCAGCAGGCGTTTTAGGAACACTGCGGCACAGTACAGCCAACAGGCGTCCAACGGGTACTGCGGCATAGTATAACCAGCAGGCGTCTGACCGACACTGCGGCACAGTACATATAACCAACAGGCGTTTTGCGATCACAGCGGCACAGTATAACCTGCAGCACAGTGTAACTGCTACGTCTATTATCAGTGAGACGGGCAGCGAACACTGAAGTACATGAAGGGGTCTTAATGGAAATATTGCGAAGTGTCGACTGTCGACCCCATCTTCATTAGAGTTGCACCATCTCATATTAATTAAAGCCAAATTTGGCATTCAAAGCTGGTAAAGAGGCGTCACTAAGGCGTCCCTAGACCGTCATTGTGGATTAATTGGAGTGCAGGCCAAACACTAAGAAAAAAAAACTCCTCTCCTAGCTTCAGTCGACTCGTCGACAGCCGCCCGACGTTTTACGTCGTTTCGCCGAGTCGCGTCCGAGTCGACCTGAGCTCTGACATTTCCGTGACAGATATGCGGGCCTGAGGTGAGACCGCGCGCGGCCGTGAACGATCGCCCGCCGTTTGTCTCTGCCCCTAAAGCCGGACCTCCCGCCGGCTAATTTACGGCCAGCTTCTGAGTGGCCTGCTCTGCTTAAATGCCGACAGAGGGCAGACGCTTTATTACCGGGATTTAATGCGTGATGCATGATGGGCTGTGCCGGCTTCAGCGGCACCGGCATATCCTGTGTGTATCTTACAGTGATACAAGTGCAGATTTGGTGCCTGTTTGGGCGTTGCCGTTTCAGTTTATTTTGAACACTTGAAAGTAATGTTGCTAATAATGACCTTGATTTTGTCGCAGAGCATTCCAACAGGTCCACTCAAGAACAGAATTGTCTTTTGACTGGATCGTCTTTTAACTGAAACGCTCCAAATGTCAAACTTCGCTGTTATGTTGAGTGTTGCACACACCAATTAGAAACACCCCACGGTCCAATTCCAACTGGAGATTGCTTCTCTAACCGGATTTGAGTCCCGTGTCTGCCTCGTTTCTGCTGGTACCCTCAGCCTGCAGTCAACTCACCGGAGTTTACGCTGCCGACGGCCACCTGGCCGGCCACCAGCTGATCACGCGTGAATGCTGTCACTGGCGACCCCGGGTCAGAGGTCAGGGTCACCTGGGCGCACTCGGCGGCGGCCGACACCAGGAACCGCAGCCGGTCCGGCGGCCGGTCGGCGTCCGCAGCGTCTGCGAACGGAACACGGGGACGGTGGGCGTGAGGCGCGGTCAGAGAAGTTCACTAATGTCCCAGCCGGGACCAACTTCGGACACAACGACGCTCCAACGCCGGAAACCTGTCACTGGGCGTGAGCTGCCCAAAGAAAACAGTCCTCCATTCGGTCCGCGGCGGTCGGCGCCCGGTCTCGAGGGGCCCGCCGGGACAGCCGCCGGGAGGTTTCAAAAGCCGACCACAGCGGCGCGCTGATGCACTGTCAACAGAGTCGCACGATAAAGCTCGGTCGCTGTTGATTTGACACCGTCCCAACTCCACAGGCTTTGGTGTGGTTGATCAATGAAGACAGTTTTCGAGTGCAGTGTGTCGCAGTCTTCCTGTAATAGCTTCCGGTTCTTATGCCCTCAATAGTCGAGACTCAAGGCTTTGTACCGGAGCTGTCCGCGAGTCCTAACGTTTAATCTCAAGCACTAGTAGCACCGCCAAACAACATGTGGATATGTCGAAATGATGTGCATTCTTTCAAACTGCTTTTTTTAGCTACTTTATGTGGCTTATGAGTCAGTTGTTCTCAATTACTCTCAGTAAGCAGACATTTCATATTGGTGTGCGTGTTTGATCTCGCAGATTTATTGATTAAATAGCTATTAAATCAAAACATGAAACCTTGGATTGCTTAGTGATCGTTCCCCGACGGACGTTTTCAGCATTTTATCACCTCAGTTCCTTTACATGATATCATTAGATCGACCCTATCTCGGCGTGTTGAAGGTCCCATCCAGCTCCGCCCTTTCCATGTCTAATCACTCCCGTTCCGCCCACCCACGCGACTCTGCCACACCCACACCTCCCAGACGGACGGGCGGGGGGGGGGACGTGACCGGCGACCGCCCCTAACGAGCAGGTCGGACGCGCCGGTTTGTTTAGTGGCCTCCTCAGGATGGCCCGGCTCGTCCCTGGTCGCCGCTTATGAGGCCTCACAGGCGCCATTACCGACTGATGAGTGCCGTCCCGTGACCCGCTGGTCGCCGCGGGCACGCCACGCGCCATCGCTCCGGAACAGCCGGCCGGGCCGCGGATACGGTCAGAGGATGGAGCAGGGTGACAGCAGCTGGAGTGATGACTCTGGAGTGTCTGGTCGCCAACTGTCACACAGCTGTAGGCATGGCCTTTGTTGTGGTCGCCTCTCGGCGACCTCTTAGAGTAGAAAGCTGAATGCAATTCAGTCCTATTTCTCTAGTTGTAGTTATATGTTATTTTATAACCAGATCATTAGTATTCAATAGAAACTGATATCTACATCACAAAATGTCGTTACCGAGACTACCGAAGCTAACTTGCAGCCAACCACGGCCGGGTAAAGCATGTTTACCGAGCTCAACCATTTAGTGTCCATTTGCGAAGGTGTTAAGTGGGCTGATGCTAGCGTAGGATAAATGTGAGAACTCCAGCACAGTTACGCCCAGCCATGGGATGTAGATGCCTCGATTTGCAAATGGCTACAACCGCTCGACCTGAATTATGACCTCACTATCCCTGTCATATTAGAAATGATTGTGCAGACACAAGCGTACAACATAAATTCACATCTTCTACTCACTTTACATAATAGTCCAAATTTATTTGCCAAGTCTGGAAAATGAGCTACGAAATGCTGCACAATGAGGCCCTTATTACAAATTATGTCCTGTCGCAAATTTACAACAACGCGAAGCCGGAAGATCTCTTCCGGTGTCGCGTCTCTGCTAGGCCTAGTGACCGAGTTCTGATGACAAGCAAAGCTGTGTTAAAGCTTATCAGTTTGAAGATTTACAGCAGTGATGATTAGATCGCTTTGTTGAAATTGAAACCAAACGCAAATGTTAAGTAAATGTAATAGGGGAGAGTGGGGATAACTGGGACGCGGGAGAAGTGGGACACCTTCAATATCTTAGTGACCGATTGGACAAACAATTTTGTTTTTGCATATTTTCTCGTGAATTTAGTCGGGGCATGTCACATCCAAGCGGTTTCCTTTTCCGATTGCCTGTCTCTGAGATATTGAGTTAGGGTCTAAAATGTGATTTTTTGGCATTTTACTCTAATTCAATTTGCCGCTTATTCAGCGATGTGAAATGTTCAGGCCGTTCACCTTTGGATATCAGTTAGGTCATCTTAATTATGCAGAAACATTTTTTTATGTATCTATTATACTTTTTGTGTGGGAGAGCAGCTGAAATAAAAATGACGACTTGGGGAGAACTGGGACAACGTGCCTAAACCCTGTCCCAGTTCTCCCGCATGCAAATGCATGGGAAAATTTTCCAGGAATACTCAGTGCTGTCAGTGTAATTCAAAAAAGATGATCGAGGTGATTTCTTTAAGTGTCAATTTTAAAAACTCCTTCGTGATACTGATGGGTCATCAAATTTTAATTGTATTCCATTTAAATCACATTTCTCGACCAGTCCCAGTTCTCCCCATCATCTGTCCCACTTCTCCTGGACGCGTCCCAGTTCACCCCATTGTCAACCTTTCCTAAAATTTAAATTTTAGAAGTAACACGTGAGCAAACACGCATAAAAACAGTAAAGAATGAAGTAGAAATAAACCGTTTACCAGTAAATGCAATCAATTTATTTAAATATTAAATATTCTATTTTTTTACGATTTTTCAAAGTTGACGTCAAAATAATGTCCCACTTCTCCCCAGTCTCCCCTAGTGTTACAAAAGGTAGGAGTTTAAAGCACCGTGAAAAAAAACATTTTTAAGCCTTCCCGAAAATTGGTTATACTTTTCATCAAAAAATACATTTTCATACTTTCAAAGCGCCAGAGAAGCATTTGGCTTTAATCGTACCTGATTACCACTCCAACATTCAGCAGATATGCCAGTCAAACATTCAAATTGATAGGTATGCCATTGCTCGTCAAAAGAGGAGAAGACATCCGCACCGAGTCGGGTCGATGGGATCGACTCATCCCGGCTGTGACGGGGACAATCCACAATCTTCGACGGGCTTAACCGACCGTTCGATGCACTGGAATGCGGCGCAATATCCCTTCGAACGTTCTCGCGAGTGCAATTCTGAATATATTGAGGTCACGGGTTTTAAACAGGAACCACTAAGCTGCATTCTTTTTCGTTCTTTGTTTTCCGATTTTAACTTCATAAACCAAGTGATTTTAGATGTTAACCCCTTCGTCAGGTGTTAATTATTCTTAACTATCCTTTTTGGTGAATTTATTTTTGCTTCTGGTAATACATCGGCAAACAGACAACCACTGAGCAATATCTGATGCATGAAGTAATACCAAGGACCTGTCATTTTTACATCGTTTTCGCCCCAGTCGTAGCTAATCCGAATCCATTTCGAATTTCGGATTCGAAACTCATTTATAATTTAGCTTTACGAATACCGCAAAAAACACCTTTTTGCTTCTATGTATGCTTCATTTTTAGAGGAAATCAAACCAATAAGGCACAACAACCAGCACGATGTTGATATTGTATGTGTCACCAAATATAATCCCTTTGGCTTGTCTACGGGCAGAAGATACCTACAGTACCAATGTAAAGCAGCTAATGCATTCATACTAGCACAGTATGCGACAGACGTTCTTTGTGAGATTTCAATAGACTGGTCTTCGACGACACTCTTGGGAAAACCATTTGACGTCAGTCCAAAACTTTGAATTGGCTTTGGCACTGCCGTGTCTAGATGATACATTTCCCAAACTCTGCCTCAAACACAAAGATCCGGACCTTCCGCACACACTGCCTTTATTGTCGGCAGTGCACTCGCCATTGAGGAGCCAAGCTAGCGCGTGGCTGTAGTTTATCACCAATACAGTGGCGATTTTCCGCACCGTAAGCCGGCAGCTGAGCGGCGCAGTGCGCCACTCCGTCACTTGACGCGGCCACCGAGCGGCCGTTCCGGCGGCGCGTCCCTGCCGGGGAGCGGGGACGCGCCGCCAGCAGTGCCCCACCCGGGCGGGTGCCGAATGGGCCCACCACTCATCGCTGGCGACGCTTCAGACACCGAGCGGCCGGCATTGATCCGCCCCGTGTCAGCGGCGCCGGCAGAGACACGCCACACGACACTTTACTCCTCACCGCAACACAGAGAACGACAGTACGACACTTCACTGCTTACCGCAACACATGGAGGAAACACACCACACGACACTTCACCGCTCACCGCAACACAGGGCAGAGATACGCCACACTTCACTTCACTGCTCACCGCAACACAAAATAGAAACACACCACACAGCACTTCATTGATACTGATAACCCACAACACATGAAGGAAACAAGCCACACGACACTTCAGACTCCTCCCCGCAACACATGAGGGATACACACCACACGACAAAACACTATACTGCTCAGTGTTCACTGTTCACCACCACACAGGGCAGCAACGCACCACACGACACTTAACCCGCGCGGGGCTGGGGTCTCCAGCCGAACGCGCGGGGCTGGGGGGGGGGGGTAAATTTTACCCCCCTGTTATCTCCCGAACTAATGGTCCGATTTGGAAAATTCAAACGCCAATCGAAAGCTCTCATCACGAACTACTAAAAACATGTACTTAATTTAAAGTTTGAGGTCAAGGTCAAGGTCAGGTCAAGGGTAAAAATTGCAAGTTTCTACAGTATCGGCCTTGCACCGTAGTTGCCGAAGAATGGAGTCATGGACTGAGACTGATCGCCCAAAACGTGTTCTTAGGCTACCAAGACAATATTCGTTGCATACAATATCATTCAGAGGTCAAGGTCAAGGTCAGGTCAGGTCAGGTCAGGTCACCAAAAAACAAAATATAGAAAAGGGCATGTGCGACACATGTTTTATGGGTCATTTTACTCATAGAATTCAATAGGCACACTCAATAAGTGATATGGACCACCTCTGGATGAATTTCAGGTCGAGGTCAGGTCAAGGTCAGGTCAAGTGAGGTCAAATTTTGAAGTTGGTTGTTAAGGCCTAAAAAGGTGTCTATCTGATGCAGTTTTTCACGGCGAATCGAATGGTGCTATTTTTGTTTCCGTACGAGGTCTAGAACTTCAAAAAAGTCATTTTTCAAAAAAAATTGTGTGTCGTGACGTCATAAAATTTTGAATAACTCCCACATTTTTGAACCGATTCTTCTAAAATTTGGTATGTAGGTGCACATAGACCACTTCTCTGACATATATTCCGGTTTTTTCGATAGACTCAAAATTTTGGATTTTATAATGATTTTCCCAAAAAAGTCAGTTTTTTGAAAAAATTTAGGCCAAAATCCAAAATTTTCAAAAAACCGAGATAGCCATTTGATAGACAAAGTAAAAGTACGTATAACCTTTTTTGTTACGTCTTGATTCCTTTAAAAATGAAGATGTTAGCGGCGTTTGAACTTTTGCCGTTTTTGAGGCGAAAATGGCGAACATGACGTCACTAAAACGTCAATTTCTCAAAAATTTTCCGACGGATTTCGCTCAAATTTTCAGGGAACGTGTCAAATTGATGTAAGAAAAGGTACTAAAAGTTTGGCGGCGCTGCGCGCCGCCGTTTTTGAGATATCGCAAAAATTCGCGAGGGGGGGTAAAATTTACCCCCCCCCCCCCAGCCCCGCGCGGGTTAACTGCTCGCCACAAGTCCACAACACAGCGCGAAAAAATAACACAACGAAACCTCACTGCTCACCACAACGCATGGAGGAAATACGTCACAAGACTCTGCACTGCTTCGCGGTTCGCGTGGATACCTAATTCACTGTTGCATCCACTGTTGAATGTCAGTTGTACGAATAAACGACGAGACGACAATTGGAAAGTGCTAACACGTTAATGGTTATCGACATTGCATTTTGCATAAAATGTGAAATGTGACAATCTCCATTCTTCACAATCTACCCTTATGAAACCTGTTTTGACGGACTGTTGAAAATGCAGATGTTGAGCTGGGTTAAATGCAAGTGGTTTTCTAATGTCCTTTAGAATGTATACGTCCTTTCACATGTCATTAAAGTTATGAGAAGGATTTTCTTATGAAGCAGATCCGACTACATCCTGCTAGAGTCCAGTTAATTAGTATCAAACATAAATGGATTCAACAGAAAACCTTGTATACCTTGACATTAGAAGCAGATGAGTTGCTTCCTAGACAAAAGCCTATGAATATTCGAGCCTTTCACCGTATTCTTGAAAGCCGTGCATCAACAAAAAATGGACGGGATGGTCACAATATGAATTAAGACCAAGGTCAAACGCGAGAGCTCAATCGGGACGTGCTAAGCAAAGGGGTCATATTGTAATGAAATGCGGCATGCAACGTATCAAACACTTATAACGAAGCGAACTATTTTGTCATAAATTATCTAAGTTTTATAACGTGTCAAGCTGTAAATTTTGTAATGTTTGTGACGTACCCAGCTGTGTAGTTGTGACGACGGCCGCTCCGCCGGCGAACACCGTGACGCCGGTGTTGTTCACCAGGCGCGGGGTGCGGTCGTTGACGCCGCCGATCTCGAAGCAGAGAGTGCCCGGCTCGGAGCTCTCTGTCTCAGTGTGCATGGCGCCCGTCAGACAATCCTCTCTGATCTCGTCGCCCGCGTGGGCGTACTGCCGGCGGAGGGCGGCGCGGGTCAGAAAACAGCCGACACGGCCGTCCGTCCGGCGGCGGCGGGTCGATCGGGACACGGCGAGACACGACGCCAGAGATGGGCCGCCGGGCTCAGCGTGGATGAGAGACGAGACTGTAGCCGGTACTGCCACAGGGAGTGCGCTCCGCATCGGATAGTGGCGGGATTATTGCAAACACACGGCGCATAAAAGTACTTCACGTTGAAGGGATTAAATCATTACTAGCAGAATTACGTTGGTTACAACGGATTTTTGTGTTAGCGTGATGAAGTGACAGGCGGCAGGATTACCGAGCATTCTACCCACGCGGTGACTGGGCTGCACTTTGGCTGGGCCCACCCACCTGCACTCTGCCGGCTCGCAGGTCGGCGATGCTGACGGTGTCCAGAGGCTCGCCGGGTCTGTCCCGCAGCTGGAGCCGGCCGTGCCGTGGCCGCTGCTGCACCTGGAAGTGGCTGAGCCGGCGCCGGTGGTAGGCGCTGGCCACCCCGAGCGCCGTGGCCGGCACCGTCACCGTGCCGCCCTCCAGCGCGCTGACGTTACGCGTCACCAGCCGGAGGCGGCTCGGGGCCACCTCAAACACGAACCGCAGCCCGGCCGTGCTCACGATCCCGTTCGTCACGGAGAACTCGAACGAGTCCTCGGTGGCGTTGGCTGCCGTCTGCACGTAGGAGAGATTCCCAGCGTCGACGTCCGCCTGACTGAAGGTGATGTGCTCGGGCCGGGTGGCGCGTCCCAGCAGCAGGAGGTATCCGGAGAGCGGCCCGGCCGTCACCGTGTACCGCACGTGCGCCGGGTCGACGCTGGTGTGCATCAGCTGCAGGTGGTCGGCAGAGACGGTGACTGAGCTGGCCTCAGCCACCAGCGCTGTTCGGTTGTGCACGACTCGCAGCGGCTCCCAATAGCTCTCCGGCAGCACGTGAAACTCCAGCGAGGCGTTGGAGGATAGCCGACCGGCGCGCACCTCCAGATGCAGTGAGTCACGCGCTGCCGCGCTGCCGTCGTTCTCGTACTCGGTGGCGTTCTGCATCACGTCACTGAAGGAGAACTCGGCCGCCGGTGATCCGCGCATACGCAGCGACCCGTGCGCCGGCGTTCCGGTCACCACGAACCTGATGTTCTCGTCGCTCACCTCGATGTTGGTTTCGGGCCACAGCTGGGCCGCGGTCAGAGTCTGAATATCGCCTCGCGGCACCGCCAGCGATGGTGCCGGGCGCACTCGCACGAAAGGCTCTGAGGCGACGATCTCCAGCTCCGCAGTAGCGTAGTGGACCCCGTCCGAGACCCAGAGCAGCGCGCGCGACCGGTCCTCGCCAGTGTGCTGCAGCACCAGCCGGTCGGCGTCGATGTCCGCCTGCGAGAAGCGCACCACCTCCGTCTGGTAGTCGGGGTGCAGGTAGAGAGCGCCGGCCGGCAGCGAGCGCCGACGGTACTGGATGTCCGCCGCCGTGGTGCCGAGGTCCGCGTCAGCAAACGCCAACTGCGCGCGGCGCACAGCACGCCGACCGCCGCGCGCGACAAACAGCGGCGCACTGGAGACCCGCCGCGGCGGCTCGTCGTTCTTGAGCGTCACGCTGACGGAGACGGAGCCGCGGTAGCGCAGCGCGGCGCCCGGCGTCAGCGAGCGCGCCACGAACGAGAACCGGTCCCGGCGAGTCTCCGAGTCGTCGTGTTCGTAGCGCAGACGGCCGGCGTCCAGATCGCCGGAGGTGAAGTGGCGCACGTCACCGCCGCCGCTCAGCCGCAGCCGGCCGTGCACCGGCTGATCCGTCACATTAAACAGGAGCGCCTCAACGCGAGGGATGTCGATCTTGATGACGTCGGAAGTCAGCGTCACAGAGCCTCCTTCGCCCACCTCGAGTTTACCGATGGCAATCATTCCAGCCGTTCGCGCCGGTACGTGGCGAACTTGAAACGTTTGCACGGCGGACTGGACTTTCTTGGCTGCACCGGTTACAGCTCTGCCACCCAGATCATGCTCAGAAGTGTCGACGCCAAGTCGGAAGCGGAACTCGTCTGAGAAGGCCGACAGTGACCGCCGGTGGAGTCGGAAGATGATTCGGGTGCTGTTCACATCCTCCTGTGAGAACACTGAGCCAACGATGAGCAGGGTCCGGCGCCCCGACCTCGGCTCCACGTAAAACAGGTCTCCGAACTGCGGCGTGGACACGATGAGGAAGGTGACGGCTGCGTGGCCGTCGGTGACCGGCTCGCACACCGCTAGCAGGTGGTCGCCGCCAACTGCCGCCTCCTGGGCGCGGTTGATGACCAGCTCGCGGTTGTAGACCAGTCGAGGGCTGACTGATACTGCGCTGATGTGGAAGGTGACCTCTGACGGCCAAGACAGGCCGCGGTAGGAGAGCCGTAGTCTCAGAGTGTCCCGGCCGGGTTTGCTACCCGTGTGACGGTACCGGACCGCATCTCGCTGCAGGTGCAGCAGTGTGAAGCTGTCGGTCGGTTCCCAGCGCTTGTTTCCCCTGAGCCTCTCCAGCTGACCGGCGGCAGGTGGTGAGATCGCCGTAAGCAGCAGCTCCAGGTCGCCGCCCGGGTCGTTGGTCCGAAACTGCAGCTTCTCGGTGGTGATGACGGCAGCGGAGCCGAGCGACACCACCAGCTCTGAGTTCCGCACCTCGGTCACCTGCAGAGGGAACATGTCCACGTGCAGCTGCGCCGGCGCTGACCTGCTCCGGCCGTCGAAGGCCCGCAATGTGAGCTGAGCGGTGGCGGCCGAACTCAGCACTACCTCCACCTCTCCTGAGTCCAACTGCGCCTGGGTAAACTCCCCCACAGTCTGTCCGGGCCTGTCGGTCAGCTCCACATGGGCTCCATCGGCAGTCACCGTCACCACTACCCGATCAGGGTCGGTGTCCGGGTCTGAGAGCCGCACCAGGTCACCGTCCAGCGGCAGCCGCGCGCCGGCCGGCATCGTCAGGATGTCAGAGGTCAGCATCAGCCGCGGCGGGTCGTCCACCGGGCTCACCAGCACGTCCAGAACTAGTGGACCGGCGGACGGCAGGCTCGGCTGCAGCTCCAGCCGGTCCCGATCCGATTCCGAGCCGCTGTGGACGTATCGCACCGACCCCTGCAGGAGCTCGTGCAGCGTGAACCGCCTCACCAGGCCTCCGTCGCCACCGACGAACAGGAGCTCGCCTTCCGCCGGAGCGACACGCACCGTGAATGTGAGATCCGACGCACTCATATTGTACTGGGTAAGGTTGAAATTGGTCCTGATGTTGCGAGAAGTAAGCAGAGATTCACCTCCTTCTGTCACTTCTAGCGCTGATGATGTAAATAGTTTATTTGAAAATGTTATGTCACTATTCGCTGGACTGTCCGCTGGCGCGCTTACTGCACCCCTATCACAATCGTCACCGCAGTGGCACACTTTGCCCGCAGTTCGCTCGCATTGTTCATCTTGACCACATTTCCCGTCTTCACACCGACGCACCGTTTCGCAACTGGTCTCTACCGCATCACTTTCTGTCACCTGAGGGAACCCCACAGGAAGACCACCGACCCGCAGGCCTCGCACGCAGCCTATGAAGCCCTCAGAGCTCTCAGCGGCTGATGTCCGACCCACAGATGACCCCAAGATTAATCTTTGTAGCGATCCCAGCTCTGCAGAAGCCATTGCTACCTGCACAACGTCACCGCCGTCCATAGAGAGTGATGCACTGGTCGCTGAGACGGACACCGCGATCTGGTGCCACTCATTGTCCGCCACTGTAGTGGTGCCATCCAGGTGTGCCTGCCAGCCACTGATAGTGGTGACAGTCAACCTCAGTCTGCCAGACCGGAGCAGGAGCTCCACTCGCGGCGGTGGCGACTGCGGCTGCGCCGACTGTCCCGGTCGCTCGGGTGTCTCCGACTCCAGGTGCACCACCGAGCCGTCCTCCACGGCAGTCCGCAGCTGCAGCTGTATGGTGGTGGCCAGTGACGGAGCGGGGAATGCTCCAGGCACCGTCCCCGATGGACTGACCGCTACTGTCTCCGGTCGCAGCACGGCGAACGCCGTCCTCTCGGTGAACACCATGGTAGCGCCGGTGGAGGCAGCGAACTGGTCACTGCAGCCCCCGGCGACGCGCCGGGTCGAGCCCCGCTCCCGCGCCACTCGCAGCAGGTGAACGCCGTTATACACAGCATCCGACAGACAGCCGCGAAACGGGCTGAGCAGGCCCAGAAAGATCTGGGAGAAGTCGCCCATGCCGCCCACAAACACGCCGTAGTGGATGTTCAGCTCGGACAACTTCCCAGGCAGCCGCACCCTGAGAAGTAGGAAGGGTAATATTTCACATTGGCGCATCGTTACAGGTGTTACACAACAAAAAAAAAATCAGCTGCAACAGATTAAAAGCATCCCTTCGCTTAGAAAATAAGCCTTCAGATTCAATAATGAGTTTGTTATAACGATCGATGTTTTTAAATTATGTGTACCTAGTATGATTCCCTAACTTACCAGGACTTGTGCTTTTTATCCACTACGAGTGTGACCTGAGCTCCGTTCCTTTCCAGGGAGATATCGTGCCAGGAGAGGTCATTCAAACGGTGGCCGACCGGGGAAGACACCTCGCCCTCGCCGTCCCCCAGGTTCAAACGGACCTGAAATCGTGAACAAACGTGATTGACTCGCGCTCGTAAAGGCCATTTGATACATCGAATGCAAATGGATGCATCAATCCCTTTACTTGTCATGTATGTCGTTATGTGGGAATGCAAAGGGAGTACAAAATATTTACAAAACTTTTGTGGTTTATATTAGTGGACCATCACCAGCCATCCACATTCGCAGCTTGACTGGGACCCCTCTCTCCCGTCCCTCTGTCTGCTCCTCGCCCGGGGCCGACCGGCTGGTCAAGGTCAGCTGACTAACTGCCCCCGAGAGGTAGACTGACCCGCCGTTGCTACGCGGCGGCCCGCAGACCTCGGGACCCGGCGTGAGGAGACTTGAACTCAATCCGTCTATACAGCTCTGTGGCCGTGCGTAGCAGCTTTAAAGAGTCCAATAGTCGCCCTCCATATTTTCTCCTTAAGAGTATCAATCTTTCCTTATCTTATTTGCTGGCATGTGCTTATCAAAATGTATTTTCAGGCATGCTTGTAAAGCCAGTTTGTTGCATCGACTGGCATGCCGGGCACTGGCAGAAACAGTCAACACATCAGGAAAGTCAAACGGTCCCACGCCGGAGAGTGGATTGGAAACGCATTCATCCGAGCAGAAATGAGCGGCTGATGAACGCGCTGGTGTGGGAATTATTCAAATGAGCACTCCGAAACCAAGCATCAGCGTAAACATGGACCACGCATAGATCACATCCGGCTTTGCTCGCAGCGATTTCAATGCGTTTCTCTCTTCCGCTGTCTGTCGAATGTGGGTCATCTGAAGCTCTAAATGCAGACTGAGTAATGAAGCCGTTTCGCCAAAATGCTCAGAGATGTTACATAATCTAAGCAACCGAGCTGTGGGCTAGAGCGGGAAATTGTGAAGTGGGAAATTGTGATTTATGTCGCAGCAATAGGTAGGCCCTGTCCGCATCGAGTGCGTTAACGTCCAATGGTGCAACTAAGGCTAAAAACATGGCGGTACCTACAAATCAGGCATGTTAGAATCATATGCGGAATGAGAAACGTTCGTAGTTATGTATAGGTAGGCAAAACTAAAGGAAATCAACGCATGAAAAAGCTATCAAATGGATTATGGCCTTCAAAATTTGCACACCATGCATGCGTTAAATTTGAAGCGATGTGTAGTAAGCGGTTGTATCATAATCAATAAGTCCTCAATGCTAATGACGTGTGTTTGCAATCTGTTGTGACAACTGCTCCAGCCATCTTAGCATCAATTATTCAGCGAACTCCTGTCGTCTCATAAGCCGCCTAAACCACCTCATACACGCTGCGCAATGCTCGTATTCCGACCGGAGAACAGCGCCCCATCCACTCGGCGCCCCGCCGCGCTGCCGGGCGCTGTCGTCCCCTCAGTCCCCTCCCGCTGCGGTCGTTTGCCAGTTGTCCGACCACCGTGCGAGAGAGACATCTCGTTCATTAGCCGCGGCCGCCGCGATATTGCGCTTTTTGCCGGGAACGGTGGCCGCCCCGGGCTAGTCGCGGGTCTGCGGAGGGGGGGGGGGGCAGTGATAGCGGCGGTACGCCCGCGGCGGCGTCAGCCAAGAGGCAATAACGATACCGCGCCTCTCTTCATGTGACCCCTCTTTCTCTCTCCCTCTCTCTCTCTCTATCCCCTCTCTGAGACATGGTAGTGGCCGATGGACCAGCGGCTATTCCTCGGGCCTCATCTCTATTAGCAGTCTGAGTAAGATAGGAACCATCGAGAATGGGAACCGGGAATGGTGCAAAAGAGTGCGGGATGTCGAAGAGATCGCGCAGACAGATATGTGTGTGTAGGCAGTGCAGATACCTAACCCAAGCCAGGAATAGGTGACACGATAGGTACCGAGATGTGTGTTCCAGGCATGTACCATGTTCAAAAATGAATGCGCGTATTCTATAAACGAAACCAATTATAAACGAACCTTACTGAGCAGGTTTTTACTGTAACCACCCGATCGAGAAATGCCAGAAGTCGAAATCGAAAAAAACATGTGTAAAAGATGAATTTATTTACCTCATCACTGTTCCTTCAAATGTAATACGTGCTAATGAATAGGCGAGTTCTGAAAGCTTCCTTCACTGTGCACAACACTTACGAATGGAATTTATCTAAGGTCAAGGGTCAACGGGCAGCTCTGTTTTGCCGGGATCAACTTTTCCCGCAGGTGTAGTTAGCCACTTAGGAACTTAGTGTACGACAACTTGTCTAATTTGGCCTCATATTGGCTCTTGTTTCGAAACGCCTAAATTCTTGGATATCGACTTTTACCCCTTCTCTTCTGTCTTACAGCAGCTTTCATGTTCTTTTGACTTTTGAGGGTGCGGAGCCGGATCCGGAGCTGGAGCCGGAGCCGGAGCCGCCGGAGCCGTGAAACAATATAGCCCGGAGGCGAGTTACCTAAGTGTGGAACTACCCAGCGCCGAGCCGGCCGGATGACGTCACACCACGGCCAGTGCCGGCGCAGCGGCAGACTGGCCGAGATTGGCATGGTCTTAACTTGGCGAAGAGGCATCGAACGCCAAACTTCTGCTGCAGCTATAAATCACATTTCATGTGTTTCTTCCATGTGTATGAGCTGTTTGTCCTTCGAATACCCAATGTGTAAGTGAGCGTACCTGCATTTAGCAGTGTGTGCCATGCTATGTGGATTGAAAATTGGGGGCACATCCGACACACTGCGCAATGGATTCCGATATTGCTTGGCTGATTCTGGCTTTGTGTCTTCGCACGAACCATTGAAAGGGAGGACGTCATTTTTAAAGGTTGTCAGGTGCACTCAAACGTTTTAATAAGCAACTGCTGATTGAATTTCTGGCGAGGGGTGGTGGAACGTTCTGTTCACAAATGAGTATCTACCTACCTAGTGCCTACCTGCATTGGCTGGCAAATAACTTGGTCGCGGTCAATTAGGCATGATTCACGAAGTCCCTTATCTTTTATTAGACTTATTAAGCCCAATGTGCAACATTTGCGTCTTTTCGCGTTGCATCGGGTAGCAAATGAGAAAATCTGCCTCTTCTCCACAGCCCTCAATTCAAGAAACCGTCCTTTTCCTTATCACACCATTCCATAGCATAATTTTCAAACATGGGTATCCTCCCCACAAAAAAACTGAAACAGTTTCCTTCGGCTCCAATGCGCCGCTCGCCCAGGGAGACGGAAGTGTTATATTCTCGGCGGTCCAGTCTGCATTCTGCAGCACAATTAAACTTGGCGGACCCCCAGCGCACGACTGAACGATTCGTATTGTTGTGAGTGACTGTGACGACAGCAAATGAATTCACTGGTGGTTTCGGAATAATTAACAGGCGGCGCAGCCCAGTGCCTCTTACAATGAATTACAGTGGCGAATGCACTATTGCAGAGAAGAAATGGACTGAGCAGATGCCCAACCTCGCTGTATTATCAACTAAACATTAGATACGCTTTACATTTTAATCAGGCAATCATGGAAACAAACGACTTGCGAGTTGCGACCCTTCCGCCTTATTACATAACTCGGCAGAATGCCCCTGAGTCGGCTAAACTACACTGCATCTCTTCAAACCCTAAGTATTTTACAATTTACCACTCAGCTATGCAACAGGCTTATAATTCACTGCTAAAGTCTCAACTCCTTTTCCCCTATCATCTTTTTGGCACCGTCAATCGCCATCTGCGCTGCCCACTGTCCAGCAAATAATCCGGCCGTCTCCAGTCCTCTGGCAGGGGCTTCCAAACTCAAGCGAACTCGCCGAAGTTTCGCCATTCAATGCGCAGGATCTGTACAATTGAGTTTGAGAGCCTCTGGGTTGGCTCGGCGCGCCTGCGCTGCGCCGTTGGTCCGGCCAAGTACGCGAGTGACGTCATGCTATAAGCGTCATCCCCCGACCAAAGTCACCAATCAGAGCCCTAGAATCGACTTGTAGTTCCACACTTAGGTAACTCGCAGCCCGGAGCCGGAGCCGGAGCCGGAGCCGTCAAAAAAGGGGCGACTCCGGCTCCTGTTTTTTTTAAGAGGAAAAAATGATTGACCTAGTTCGGTATGACAATACAAGGCAGTGACAGTACATGTGGTATTCAAAATAGCCTTGTTATGAAAATGCAGAAGCAACGTGTACCAATCCCATCGTCTTTTTTGTTCCACCCGTATTTAATTACATAGGGGAGCCGGAGCCGGACCATGTTACTCGGAGCCGGAGCCGGAGCCGGAGCCGACGCCGCCATGACATTTCATCCGGAGCCGGAGCCGGAGCCGGAGCCGATTTTTTTTCTCCGGAGCCAGAACCGGAGCCGGAGCTGTCTGAAATTTCCACAGCTCTGCAACCCTGCTTTTGAGGTATTATTCTGGACAAAAAGTAGCATAACTCATGGTCAGCCTGGCGTGCGCTGATCAGATATTTACTGAGGTCACGCGAAAAATATATGAGACGGACAACAAAACTTTACTGTCGACAACGCAATATGGATGCAATTATTTCTGTATTGAACAGCGTGTAAATTTAATTCATTCAATCTTATTTAACAATGACAAGGATAATTAGAAATTATAAAAAAAAAATATTATAGTATTTTTATAACATCCTTCATGTATTCACCACGGTATGCTGTAAACACCGAAAAGCCCACACAGTGACACAGCAGAACTCATCGAAAATGCCCAACACGTGGGTATCACATGCTGCGATAACCCGCGCACCGACGGGGGTCTGCGCCAACTTAGAACCGACGGGGGGCGGATGACCGCCACCCCCCCCCCCTGAGATCTCGAGAACGAAGCAAGATAGCGACAAGCGGTAAACGGCATGGGATACGCACGGACAAGGTCTACAATTTTTACAGAGGTTATTTTCAGGTCAGGTCAAAGATGACGTCACAGGGGTCAAAAAGTCAAAATGGCGGCGCTGGATATGGAGAGTTTTTTCTCAAATAACTTTCAAAAAAGTCAAGATAGGAACAAACTAAGCGCATCATCGTGATCCTCTTGTCAATCCGCATCGAATGATATATATATATATTGACCTCGAAAGGTCAAGGTCAAAGGTTGACCTCAGGTCACGTGACCTCGAGGTCATCATGTATATCATTCGATGCGCCTTGACGAGCTGAACATAATGAGACCATCCGCGCGGCTGTATCTTGTTCCTGTACGGAGTTATGGGTAAAAAACCGCTGGTAACCTTTGATGACGTCACATGACATTACAGCTGCCCAACAGCAAAATAGACCTCAAGGTAGTGAAGTTTGATCGTATATGAAGTCATGTATGGTTTATGGGGCCATTCCGACCCGTTTTAGTGGTAAAAACAGGGAGTTGATTTTTCCCACATTGACTTATAATGGGGAGGTCGAGAAATTCACCTGACCTTAGGTCATCGATATTAAAATTCCGAAATAAACAAATTGTAGCTGCTGATGACCTTAAAACATCCTGTGACTTTCAAAGGCCTCCGACATCTACTGTAGCTCTGGCACGGTGACAAAGTTGCAAAAAAGTCACTTGAGGTTGGGTCATTCAAAGTAACCTGGTGACCTGACCTTAAAAGTTAGGAGGTTCAAACTTGCACACCATGTGTACAATTGACAAGAGAATAGTCGTACCAAATTTCGCGGCGCTACGCACCGCAATTTTCCCGCTATCTACGAAAAACCTCAGGGGGGGGGGCGGATATCCGCCCCCCGTCGGTGCGCGGGTTGGAAAGGATTTTAGAACGTCTCTATTACCCACTTCAGCACACGTCCTCAAACGAACACTGTTTGTTTGTGTGCGTGTTTTTGTCATAAATTCTATGGGTGTCATTCGATAGCCCTGGATGATATCGAGAGGCACCTGTGTACTCAGTGTAGTACGCGCGTCCACAATTCAGCAGAAACTAGAAAGTTAATTAGGTATCAAACGAACAGATTAATCAATACAAGGCCCTATAATAATAAGTACTGTGCCTTCGGCGTTGCAATGTGTTCTGCATCCTAATGATCAATTGGTTGTAAGCACATAACACAAAACAAAGACCTCACCAACTTGACTACCCATACAAGCTCCCCAACAAGTCGAAGGTGTAAAAACGGCGGAGAACCATCGCCACAAACGACCCTGAACGGCGGGACAGACGATGCAGCGGTGCCGGAGAAAGTGGCGTAGAAAAGGCAGCCGAGTGAAACGCTAAGCGACTCCGCTCTGTTGCTCGATGGCCCATTCGAGCGAGGCAGCGCTAAATGTGGCAACGAAAGACGACAGGCGATAATTTGGTGAAACAATGTAAAGAAAAAAGTGTCTGGTATCTTGCAGGTTGCTGCTCCAGAAGAAAAATAATAATAAATAAATCACGAATCGTACACGTCATGATATCGATAGAAAATGCAGGATTTTTATGTCTACCGAAGCTGATCTGCACAAAGATGTTAGCATGGTACATAACAATTATTAGCCACCACCGAAAGCCAAACATGGTGCACCTGGCGCCTCCGTGGCCCACATCTACAGCTCTGACCGTGCTGGGCGTGCTCACCTTGAGGCGCCCGCCTTCGAGCAGCATGAGGAGGTAGTCGGTCGGTCCGGCTGCCACCAGCAGCAGACAGTCGGTCTGGCCGGTCAGCAGCCGCAGCCGCACAGAGTTGGTCCGACCGGCGTCCTTCAGCGCCACACGCGCGTGACTGGCGCCGTAAAAGGACGCTGCAAAGTGACGGAATGTTAGACGGAGTCACTGGTGAATGGAGCACTGCTGACAGACATCATGTCATGTCAGAAGAGGACGGAGAAAGACGTTACAGCAAAAGGTTAGGTCAACAAGTCAGACAATGGCAGAGGTGGACGGGGTCGGAGAGGGCTGAAGTCAGGTCACAATCTAGCGGGGAAGCACAAATGATTGGATGATCTCAGTGACGACGTCAGTTGTCAGATAGAAATCGATAAGCGAATCTACATTCATAGCCAGCAGACTGGGATAATTAGTACTGAAATCAAATAGAATAATGTTCCACAGAAACAGAGGTTTATCGTACAGAAAGCTAAAAAGTGAGTAGGGTGTACAATTTAAATGTCCTATGATGTTATTTAAAATGTTATTTAGTCAAAGGAATATCAACTATGCTGCCCTAATTGAGGTGTTCGTTTGATCGATTTTCTTGTTTCTGGCCGTTGGATATTCAGCCGTAAGCGTTTCCAAGGATCCCTTTCGGGTGACTGAACGCTAGATTTCACCCTGGGTCGGCTTTCGCTAGCGTTGGAAATGGCCACCGACTACAATTCCGAACAAAAATAGGACCTAGATGGGTGATAGACGGGATGTAGATGAGAACAGACGGGCTCTGGGCGGCTAAAGGACGAACCATAGACGGAAGGAAGTAGGGAGGGAGCAGGATTTCACGGACATATATTACATGCATGTCGCACACAGATCACATATATGACGAAGGAGGTGACAGGCCATATGGGTGCAGAGCTAAGGCAGATGGGGAAGGGAAGGGGGCGGACAGCAGAAGGGGTAGGAGACCGTGTGGAAGGCGAGGGAGTCAAGACAAGGGAGACGTGAAGTGTCCGGTAAGACGGATGCGCCTTCTCTCTCGCTCGACAACAGCTGTCCTGCGGCCTGCGCCGGTGCTAAAGTTTGACCCCCCCCCCCCCTTCGCCGCCCGCTCGTGCTGAGTAGATGTTGAGGACAGACGGTCACCACTTGTGCTAGACGTAGGAAACGCCCTGAAGGTCAACGCGAGCAAAACGCAACTCATGATATTCGGCAGCCGTCAAAATCTAAAACACTTGCCCCCAGTCGTCGTATCGTTTCGTGACACGGAGCTGGAACCATGTGCGCAGGCAGGAAACCTCGGCGTGGTGTTTGACAGCTGTCTGACCTGGGAAGCCCATATATCTGAGCTCAGCCGGAGGTGTATGGGTCTGCTCATTGGCCTCTCCCATGTGCGGCACTGTCTTCCCGATGGGGTCATCAAAACCATTGTCACATCTCTAGTCATCTCCCGAGTAAATTACTGCCTCTCAGTTTACGGAAATGGTACAAAAAAGAACCTGAATCGACTCCAAAAGATCTTGAACTTCGCTACTCGAGTTATTTTTGGCCGTCGCAAATTCGACCACGTCACTGACCTGCGCGAGAAACTCAACTGGATGCCGCCCGAATTTATGTACAAACTTCAAACCATGGCCACTGCACGTAAGGCGATACACTACGGCGAACCGGTAGCACTTGCCTCTATGTTTGCCAAAAACCGGGACTCCTCAACCAGGAATAGAAATACACGTCAGGATAACCTTCTCCAGCTCCAGCGTCCCAGACTAGAAACCGGTAAGCGGCGTTTCAGTTACCGTGCCGCCGAGCTCCTAAACGACCTACCTCCCGACCTCTCACAGCTGCCACCCTCTAAATTCGCACGCGCTGTCAAGTCTCTGTGGAAAAACGATAGACCTTCGTGATGGCCTGAATTAGGCACTCGTCTTGTATATAAGTACACGGTATGTTAGAAATCGTAGCATATAGAGTCTTCCTGTGTGTGCGTGTATGTGTGTGTGTGTGTGTTGTTGTTCGACTGGTCTCTGTTCCTGCATGCTTATACCCGACTCAGACTCTGGGCAGTAATCGCCACGCCATGTGTGGATCGCCCATGATCGTAAATACAATACAATACTAGCTTCGGGATGACCATGAAGTGTCCTTGCAGCTACTGACATGGTGGGACATTGTGAGAGCGCTTCTCAACGTTCCAACTGTGCACCTGAGCTTTCGGTATCTGTAGATAAAGCTCTGGTGTAGGTAACCATATATGTGTAGTTTGTATAACAATAGCTAATCAAACTCAGGCAACGTATACACTATGCATGTGCGTGGGGATATTACTATCCACAGTTTCCCAGAAATGTGCGAAACATCGTACCAAAAACTTTTATTTTAAATCCTGAATTAGGTACTTACATTTAATGTGAAGCTACCAACAGGCAGCATATAAGCAAGCATATTAACAAGCACATTGGAAGAAGTCAAGAGATGTAATGCTACACTGGCAAATCAGACCATCTGTAGGCCACTTATCGGGGGCAGAGGCCAGCACAAGATTGGTATAAAACCAAGGCTTTGATGCTATTTTAATGTTTATCTTAACACGGGCATCAGCGGTGGCACTTTGATTATTTTGCTGGCCGACTGCAATATCTTTTTGTGCCGGTCTTAAGTCCTCATCTCCGTCTTGTCTTCGGCGGAACTAATGTATCTGTGTCGCGGCCAGACATCGCTCACGGGGAGATTTACCGCCAGCCGGTCTCCGGCGACTTTTTTGCTCCATTTGATGCGTGGCGTGATGCATGCGACGGAAATACGCCAAGTTTGTCGGCCAAAGAGAACTTTCTGCCGACGTATAGGTAAGTAATTCTCGAAGCTTGTTATTATTTCACAAATTGACTAATGGATAAACTTTCGACAGGATTCTTGCTTTAAAGTAATGTTCATAAAGTTACGTCTTTCGTCTTGCAAGTCTTTCGCTTTTCATACTGGTGATGGCAGGCGCAAGGGCTGCTTGACAAACGGGTCTCAAAGAAGGGCGCTGTGATGCATTTTCTACGCATTTTATTACGGTCCCTTTCAGATCCTATTTTTAGCGTGAACTACATATTTAACCCATTTCGGGCGGCTATGAGTGGCTCGTGATTTGCGCAATTGATTTTAAGTCGTAAGGCGTAACCACTGGAATCGTAACCACTTAAATCGTATGGCGCATAAGCCACTGGAAACGCCATTAAATAATCAGTTTGGCGTTCGTTTGCGGACTATCTTATATATCATTTTAAACCCTAATGACAGAATCTACAAAGCCTTACAATGGAAAATAGACAACGGTCGCTCAGCACGGAGAGCCGATTATGCTGCAGACACCCGGGCGGCCTTTGAGACGTCCAGTTCCGTTTGACTCGACCCGCACCTGTCTCGTCTCACAGCCTGGCGCCGCCCGCGGCCGGCCGCGGTCAAAGGTCACCCGTGTCGCTCCGGGGCGGAGCCGGCCGTTGTCCGGCCCGCTGCAGCAGCCTTGTTCCAAAGGGCCTCTCCAGCGGCTCCGGCGGAACTACCTTTTCGGCAGCGACTCCCCCGCGCGTCTGCGGGAGCCCCGGGGGCACGTCTCTGACTGAACCGACTGGCGTCGGACCGGGCCCAGCTCAGATTAGTCGGCTATTCCCGATTGGACAGTCGGCCCAGAAATGGGAGCCGACTCCCGCAATAAACGGGTGATAAAGGCAGATTAATATCCCGGCAGCCGCGAGCCTGGGCCTGGCACCGCTATCACGCCAAATGGCCGCCGGCTTTTACAGCAAATTCCTTCCCAGAAAAAGCGTGTCAGAACGTTTCTGACAAGTTGCTCAGTTTAGATAGCACATGTTCCGTGCCGCCGAAGCTGTTTGTCGAGGGGATTTTTCCGCCTCTCGGCAATCTGACCCGCAGCCGGGGTGGCGCGACGGCCGTTTGGTCTGGTCGACAAATTAGCTGTCACGGTCTGACGATCAGAGGGCTGCTCTGGCCGTGAGGTGGGATTACTGTTCGTTACTCGGTGACCTCGACAGGCGACCTCCTGAACCGAGCAGAGCCCAACTGCCACCTTTTTCTTCTCGGTCGACTGGCGAGCAATTTCGGCTTTGTATAGCGTTACGTGGTGATGGCAGATTGTCATTAATTATTTCGAACGCCGCTTGTCGCTTGTCGCCATACACGGCACAGCAAGGCCCTACATATATATCTACCGGCACAGGATTTAGGAATAGCCAAATGAGGAAGGGGTCTCAAAGCCTTCTACCCCCCACGCCCCCCCCCCCCAATCAATGTGCTACACTGCACTGTCACAGCGCAGACCAACTTTTATTCCATCCATTGTCATTAGTTTGTCCTTATTAGTCATGATCCAGCCCAACTTGAGCCGCCATCACTGATGTGCGCCATTATACCACTACGTCATTATTTACACCATGGCTGATTCTGAAGTAGTTAATACCTACCACAGGTAACACCTCGTACCGACTGCAAAGTCGATACGTCTTATGCTATTAGGACGATCTGTCGGCGCCCGATGTCCAAATTATCGGTCGCTGACTGCGGCAGTCGGCTGTCAGCGCGGCGGTGCCGAGGACCGGGCCTGGGCAGACGGAGAGGCGCCCCAACTCTCCGGGTGACGTCCCATTGCCGAGTAAGCAGCCACGCAAGCAGGCCGATAAAATTAGACCGCCCGCAAACGGTGCAGGCCCACTCCGATGACTATGGGGCGGCAAACGGCGCCCCGCGTCAGCAGCGTCGCTCTCCGATATGCTGGTGAGGTGGGGAAATAGCCGTGGGGGAGCTCTAACGGATGATGATGATGAGCAATTATCAGCTAAGGTAACTGCATATGTAGCAGGAGTATGACTGAATAGGTTTTGTTTAGTACATTCAGCCTACGAGTTTATTAAGTAGCTGCTGGCAAATATCCTCCAAGTCATTTTCGGCTAAACACCCAAGTTTACACCAAATATTGCTTTATGACCAAAGAGTACAAGTTAAAAAAAAAAAAAACATTTTTAAAGCTTACTGGTAGTTAACTCTTTATTGCCCTCCCCCCCCCCCCCCCCAGGTATGATAAGTCAAATGAGCAAAAGCAAATTTGTATAGGGACCCAGAAATGTACTTGCAAAATAGGAGCTTTGATTTG